ACGCGCACTACTTAGTATTGAGAGAAAATCTCGTACTCGTGGTCGTCCTCGTCTTACAATCTTAAGGTCTCTAATTATATCATTTGTGACAACAATGGCCCTGAATACTTAGCTGTAGGAAATTGGGATCTTCATTACAATAAATATAATACACTGCATTGCAATGCAATAAAATATTTTTATTTAACCATGTACACCCAAAGTTATGAGTCTTTGCAGTCGTAGTCATATATATTATAGCAGTTATCCAATTTATAAATACAATGCCAACTGTTTCAGAAAATAAGAAATATCTTCTTAAGCCGTTAAATCTGTACATTAGATTACTTGGTCACACACCAAACACTATTCTACAAAAATATACCTCTGTAAAATACCAGAGGGGATGTTACTAAAACGGGGAACGGGTAACGGGTAACGGGGAGCGAAGAGCGAGCACAGTGGACAGAAAAATAAAAAGTGGGAACAAATCCGGCTAAACGTTCCTCGTGCTCTTCGTATTCCGCTCTCCGTTTTAGTAACATCCCCTCTGGAAATTTCATTATAAATACACCTAGGCAAAATTGAGTGATGAACCTCTTAGAAACCACTATTTATCATTGGCTCTTGAAAACACTCAGGCTATTGTTTTTGGCGCTAGAGACATTGTTGGTTCATCAATCTATTATTTTGTTAGCAAATTTTACAGGCAACTCGTTCTGAGAGATAAGAAGCAACCGTGATAGAAGTACGAATTATAAAGAGTTGCTGAATAATTTTACACTTCCTTCGCTCCTCAAATAAATAACACATTTCGCTTGTCTCAAGCGTTACGATAAATGGAGAGTTACGTGAATAAAAACAGAGAAAAGAGCAAGAAGAGAGGAAAAATTGATACGCAATCCATACAACCCTAATTCCCCGAAAGAGCACCTCCCCGAATACGCACCACATACAATTCATTCCAAAATACCGCCAATGGTAATCTTTTATTTATTTATGCTAATTAGCCCTCTTTGTTTTGATCTCATCTACAGAACGTTTACTTTAAACCGAGACATCGACGGCCAATTGTCATGAAGACAACAGAATAACTTAACTTGCCGACATTTTGGAATAAAATGCATTCAGTAGCAAAAAGCGTTATTGACCACTCCAGAAAATACCATAACATACCATAATACTCTTTGTTTGTCACCCCAAAATTTTGCATAAGCATTGTTTTCAGTTTCTCTTGGGGCCATTTTAACTCCCAAGAGAAACTAAAGACAATGCTTATGCAAAATTTTGGGGTGACTAGCAAAGAGCATTATGGTATGTTATGGTATTTCTGGAGTGGTCAACTGAATAAGCACGGTCCCCGCATAGGCAAGTACCTTCAAGCGACAATGTGGCGCTTTTTGATCTTGATATTTTTTCGGACATTGTTATTATTGCTGTTACTATTGTTTATTCGAATGTGGAAGTGCATAGACCTTCATGGCTAACATTTCCGGATCATAGTGATTGCCCAGCGAGCAGAGGTTTCTTTCTTGCATGGCTTTTAGCATTAACGAGGTCGTTCGTGTGGCTTACAGTCTGTCGCGTAGTTGGGGCGTATAAAACAAACCAACTACGCTACTGACAAGCCACCCGAACGACTTCGTAAACGCTAAAAGCCATGCAAGGGCACACAATGATTTCCACGTTATACATTCTTTCTGTGCTATTGATGCAGCCTTTTAAGTAAACAAAGAAAAAGAGTCAAAAATGCATCATAATATCCAAATTTCAGGAAATAAGCGCGCCTCCCTCGAATAAGGTTGCAGAAAGGCTACGGAAAATTTGACTAGGGACGCGGAGCTCTTCCGGGTAAATAAGGTACCGCAGAATTTTCAACGACCCAAAAGCAAGGAGGTTTTGGGAGACGGGGGGATTTTGGGAGATTTTCCTCGCGCCTCCTTCCATTATGGTTGATGAGATTTCCAAAGGAAAGCCAAACTCGTTCCCAGCGTCCTCTCCTACTCGTCCCCAGCAGCGAGAAAGTGGGTCGAGTAGAAGAGCATCCTGGAACGAGGTTGTAGGTAAGCAAAACTGATTGCACTTGTTTAATAAATACAGTTATTACTATAATGAAATTAATATATTAAATGCCATGTTTTTTTTTCTCAGCCGATTAGAATTACATTTGCAAAGAGATCGCTGCATGTTTGTCTGCGTTCTGAATGAGTAAGTGCTGTTTTTGTAAATTACACCATTTACTGTCAAAGCTCTTTTCACTTTTCACTTCAAAAGACCGTGCTAACGGGGGAAAAAATGAACGAAAAATTGTGCACCAACTGAAGTGAAAAAACCTTTGATAATTCATTTGGAATGAAATACGCCACCCGAAAACAGATTAACAATCGCTGCGCACAACATTCTTCTATGGCTCAAAAGGAGGGAAAAAAGGTGTATTTTATAGTAAGAAATTACGAAAAAGGGAAGGCAATTTTGTAGGCAAAGAAGTATTATCATGTTTTGTTGTATAGAGATATCTAGATTAGGGTTAATAACACTGACTTAAAATGGTTAGCTTTCATACGTACTGTTTTGGAAACTCCATAGAAAAACTATGTAATAAAGGCATTTGGTATTGATTGTTCCTTTGGTGTAGTGGTTAAGTATTAGATAAGATAGACTAGTATACCGGATCAAAGCTTCCTTGATTATCACAGATTTTAGAAGTGAATGTCGGACAAATGTTAAGACTGTTTGAACGGGATGGCGCACTAACATTGTACCAATTGACCAATTCTCGAAACCCATTGCGCACGTTTAGTCGTCATCCTCGCCTTCTTCTTCCTCTTCTACCGATATCCCGTGATGCTTCATGAGCGCCTTCATCATGGCCTCCAGTTGGGTGGTATGATCTAATACAGCTTTGAGTTTTGATTTTAAGGTTATTACTTCGTCTTTTAAAGCCTCCTGATGATTCTGTAGCTTCTCAATTGGAGTCTGATAAAGATAAATAGATAAATAATAATAAAAAAGGCTGAGAGACGTTCCTGAAAGGTGTTTTCTTTTTGTAATGCAATGCCTTGTAATCCAAAGTAAATTGAAATACTAGCAAAGAGAATGGCGATACGCAGCTATACAAGACCTCACAGGATTGGCTTAGAAAACAATAAAAAAACAGTAACAATGGACTATTGCCCTAAACTATATTAAAGAGACTGTGTCACAGCTACCTGGTTCATTTTGTCAATGATAGAGGCTTAAGTATCAGGTTTTTCATGGTTGACAGCAAACCTGAGAATGTCACGTGACCACAGTCTTGAAGAGCAGGAAGAGCTTCCAGCGGGAAGTGATTTATGGCAAGGTTTTTTGCCGTTAAAAATTGTACAGCGTCACGTTTAAAGGCAAAAGATAGGTTCCTACACCCGCCTGTGATGTGCCAGTTAGATGTTTGAACTCAAATCAATGAATTCTTGATATTTTTCAGGCGATTAAAGTGAAGCACCCCGACTTGACGAAAAACAACGTGGTGCCACCAAACAACGAACGCTTTGTTAATATTCGAAGTACTGTCAACGTGAAACTGCAAACGCGTAATAAGCACGGTCCCCGCATAGGCAAGTACCTTCAAGCGACAATGTGGCGCTTTTTGATCTTGATATTTTTTCGGACATTGTTATTATTGCTGTTACTATTGTTTATTCGAATGTGGAAGTGCATAGACCTTCATGGCTAACATTTCCGGATCATAGTGATTACCCAGCGAGCAGAGGTTTCTTTCTTGCATGGCTTTTAGCATTAACGAAGTCGTTCGTGTGGCTTACAGTCTGTCGCGTAGTTGGGGCGTATAAAACAAACCAACTACGCTACTGACAAGCCACGCGAACGACTTCGTTAACGCTAAAAGCCGTGCAAGGGCACACAATGATTTCCACGTTATACATTCTTTCTGTGCTATTGATGTAGACTTTTAAGTAAACAAAGAAAAAGAGTAAAAAATGCATCATAATATCCAAATTTCAGGAAATAAGCGCGCCTCCCTCGAATAAGGTTGCAGAAAGGCTACGGAAAATTTGACTAGGGACGCGGAACTCTTCCGGGTAAATAAGGTACTGCAGAATTTTCAACGACCCAAAAGCAAGGAGGTTTTGGGAGACGGGGGGATTTTGGGAGATTTTCCTCGCGCCTCCTTCCATTATGGTTGATGGGATTTCCAAAGGAAAGCCAAACTCGTTCCCAGCGTCCTCTCCTACTCGTCCCCAGCAGCGAGAAAGTGGGTCGAGTAGAAGAGCATCCTGGAACGAGGTTGTAGGTAAGCAAAACTGATTGCACTTGTTTAATAAATACAGTTATTACTATAATGAAATTAATATATTAAATGCCATGTTTTTTTTTCTCAGCCGATTAGAATTACATTTGCAAAGAGATCGCTGCATGTTTGTCTGCGTTCTGAATGAGTAAGTGCTGTTTTTGTAAATTACACCATTTACTGTCAAAGCTCTTTTCACTTTTCACTTCAAAAGACCGTGCTAACGGGGGAAAAAATGAACGAAAAATTGTGCACCAACTGAAGTGAAAAAACCTTTGATAATTCATTTGGAATGAAATACGCCACCCGAAAACAGATTAACAATCGCTGCGCACAACATTCTTCTATGGCTCAAAAGGAGGGAAAAAAGGTGTATTTTATAGTAAGAAATTACGAAAAGGGGAAGGCAATTTTGTAGGCAAAGAAGTATTGTCATGTTTTGTTGTATACAGATATCTAGATAAGGGTTAATAACACTGACTTAAAATGGTTAGCTTTCATACGTACTATTTTGGAAACTCCATAGAAAAACTATGTAACAAAGGCATTTGGTATTGATTGCTCCTTTAGTGTAGTGGTTAAGTATTAGATAAGATAGACTAGTATACTGGATCAAAGCTTCGTTGATTATCACAGATTTTAGAAGTGAATGTTGGACAAATATTAAGACTGTTTGAACGTGCTGCCGCACTTACATTCTACCAATTGACCAATTCCCAGAACTCATTGCGCACGTTTAGTCGTCATCCTCGCCTTCTTCTTCTTCTTCTACCGATATCCCGTGATGCTTCATGAGCGCCTTCATCATGGCCTCCAGTTGGATGGTATGATCTAATACAGCTTTGAGTTTTGATTTTAGGGTCATTACTTCGTCTTTTAAAGCCTCCTGATGATTCTGTAGCTTCTCAATTGGAGTCTGATAAAAATAAATAGATAAATAATAATAAAAACCGCTGAGAGACGTTCCTGAAACGTGTTTTTTTTGTAAAGCAATGCCTTGTAATCCAAAGTAAATTGAAATACTAGCAAAGAGAATGGCGATACGCAGCTATACAAAGCTTCACAGGATTGGCTTAGAAAACAATAAAAAAACAGTTACAATGGACAATTGCCCTAAAATACATTAAAGAGGCTGTGTCACGGCTACCTGGTTCATTTTGTTAATGATATCTGGTTTTTCATGGTTTACGGCAAACCTGAGAATGTCACGTGACCACAGTCTTGAAAGGCAGCAAGAGCTTCCAGCGGGAAGTGATTTTTGGCAAAAAATTTGTACAGCGTCACGTTTAAAGGCAAAAGATAGGTTTCTACACCCGCCTTTGATGTGCCAGTTAGATGTTTGAACTCAAATCAATGAATTCTTGATATTTTTCAGGCGATTAAAGTGAAGCACCCCGACTTGACGAAAAACAACGTGGTGCCACCAAACAACGAACGCTTTGTTAAAATTCGAAGTACTGTTAACGTGAAACTGCTAACGCGTAACCGCAAACTGCCGTTCGCGGTTTGCAGTTTCTAAAGAAAAACCTGATGCCAAAAGGTCTCTAATGACATTCACGCTTTCTAACCGCGACTGATATAGCTCCCGGATGGATTAATTTACATAATTCATTTGTAGACATATGTGTACACGGAAAAGTAAAGAAATTTTCAAGAAAACACTTTGCCTTAGATGAATGCCAGGGGGCAATTGTGGTACTTGGCAAGTAAGGTGACAATGTGTTTAGTCATTAGTCTATTAGTAATACTTGAAAACTAGGGATTTCATTTACACTTGTTTTCTCTGGGCAGATCTAACGCACAATGTTCCGTCAGAGCACCAAAGCTGAAACCGTCAATGTCTAAAACCTTATAAAATAAAAACCAAAACCTAGTGAAAAGGTACAATTGGCAGAAAAAAAATTGCCTGAATTTCAGTGGCCGAAAAACTACAATTTTAACCCCAAAATGCGAGAAAGCTTATGACATAGAACTAAAATTTAACATTTTTCCAGAGAAGCATGCCCTTGGACCCCGTAGATACGTCCGCTAGACGAGAACAAATGAAACAAAGAATAACAGGCCATTTTACCTTAAGAGGGCAAAAAATATGACTGTTCCACAAGGGTGAAAAGTTATCTTTAATTGTCAAAGGGGGCAAGAAAAAATAGTTTCCCTTTCACCCAACCCCCCCTCCACCACACCTCGTTTCAATAAACAATGAACACGCTGTAGCTGGCAAGTTGTGGTGAACATAAAAGCATTGTTTCTCAGTTTCTGTACGTTGCATTGACAAACCTGCATAGCCAGTCTTTTGAGTACCGCTTTCTCTTGCACACCTTTGATATCGTCTACAGCCAGACCAACCTATGGTTAACAAATAAAAACGTCAAGATTTGGTGGCTACTCATTGGAGATGGCCGCTTATGAGAGGTTCTAACTATAGAGCTCTCCCTAGAACAACTGATTTGTGGTTCCCCAATAGGTTTCTCGGGATTCGGGAATCGGGTTTTTAAAGCAACATGGGGCGATATTCGGGTTCCAAGTATTCACAGTATGGAGGATAGCAATAATAACCGTCGGGGGATTACGGGATTTTGGCTCAGTACAATTTGGGTCAGGATGACGGGATTGAAGAACCCTATTAGGCAACCTCTGATCAGACTATTCTGAATGGGCATCGTTTACGCGGAAAGGTCACTCACAAGAACAAAGCACGGATCGAGGTTCTACTGTTGTACTGTAAAAAGAGGGAATAAGCCTTTTCAATCAACTTTTATTGGAAACAAACACAAAAGAATGAGTTTTTAAAACAAACAAATGCTATCATTTCAGGGAAGAACATCAACGCTCGCCACTCCATTTTAAGGTACTTTTCCAACAGCAGTGTATTTGTCTGTACCAAACTAGGATGACGAATTTCGCATCACGTGATTATTACACTTCCCTTTTGCACTTAATCTCGCAACAAATGGGCCATTACCGAGTTGCCCCAGCCTCTGTTTCAAAGCGAGGCCAAGTGTGAAGCCATTCAAACGAAAATTTTTTTTAATTATCAAGCAACAGACCTCTTTAGTTTGTATGCTCTGTCTTCGCAATACAGACCTGTCATAATACTCTAGCATGCAAGCTAAAGAGGACTATTGAAACTCATTTTCATTAGAAAGGTTTTGCACTTTGGGAGAAGTTTTGGAATTTGAAATGGTCTTTTCACCATACAATTTGCAAGTCGTATCCTCTAGATCGTCTCCTTCTTTCCCGACAGTCACTTACCAATAAATTCATAATGATAATGCAGTTGGTGACGAGGAAGGCTACGTACAGTATCCACGTGACCGGGGGTACCACGTTTTCATTGTATACTGTATCGTATTCATATTCTCCTAACATTCCCATTGTTGTCTTTAGCATGGCTCTGCCAGGAGTGGAGTACGGGATCTACAGAGGGAAAACTAGCATCTTTCAGTCTGATTAATTGAGGTTTTTGGATGACTGATTACCTACCCCTCCCCTAAGTCAAAATTAACACTTACTTCTCCCTCAGGGCAAAATTGTGACTTAAGGGAAGGGTTACTTTGTAAGGAACACAGGCTTAGGACATGCCCAAGCCGCTTCGGTTAATTACTTATACGATATGTGACATGTGACTGATGGGTGATTTTGGGAATCCTGCTTTAGAAAGGGGTATTGACATTCGAGACTTCCAAGCAAAGGGTGCAATACCTCTTAAAGGCGCAAAAGATTCGAAGTTGTAGAGAATTTTTTCTAGAAATAGAGATCAAATGTTGCGTATTTTAAGGACAGGGCCCAGTTGTTCGAAACCTGGGTAACGCTTTCCACTGGATAAATCTCTATCAGTACAGAACTTATCCGCTGGATAGTTATATATCTGGCGTCAGCTGTTCCAAAGGTGGATAGCACTATCCACTGGAAAGCGCAATTAATTTCCCTAACTTAACCGCTGAATAGGCATTTATCAGGTATAGAGCTATTTATCTTTTGAACAACCGCGGCCTGCTGGATAGCGCTATCCAACGTTTAAACAAATGGGGCCAGGGGTATTATTTTGAACACAAACACAAATGTTCATGTGGAGTTGTGGCGGGTGAGCATGCTCTTTCAAACCTTGCCTAGTTACTAGGCCTCATTGTTCCGCAAGCCCAAAGCGTTTCGGGTCACGTGCTCCAGGCGAAAATGTGAGCGTTCGCCTCGGATACGTCACCGAAGTGAATTGACCGAGAGGGACTGGAAAAACGCCGTGCAGGCACTAGGCAAATTCAAACGTACCCAAGGAGTCTGTCCCTAGGAAGGGATCGAAGAATATTTGTTCCTTAAGTCTTCAAAAAATGTTGTGTTCAGCATGTGCTATTAATATTTCATTAGACAATCAGAGAACCGTTCCAACTTCTATTCAATAATATAACGTAAGCAGATGCACGGTTTACCTGATTGTATAGTAAAATATGAAATCCTAAGCCAAAGGCCACGATAAACAGGAAACAGACTACAAAGAACTGAGCGAAAGTCTTGAATATATCTGTGAACATCACCACATAAATTCCAAGCTTGGGAAATTTGCGCATGACAAGAACAAGGCCAATCCAGGACAGGTAGACCGCGGTCGCACCTACACTGTTGTGATAAACAAAGCACCTGGAAATGAAATCAAAAATGTATTTATGTTCATAGAGGCTATTTCACGTGATTTGCTACCTTTTCAAAAAGCTAAAAATTTTTTCGCATCAATGTAATTCCAAAATAATGGTCCAGTTTAACTCTTTCCTGTCGTCTGTTGCTACGGATAGCAAGGATGGACATGGATTGAAACATGATTGAAAACGTGGGGCCAGCTTTTTTCACGTTTTACTACTTTTAACAGAGAGATTAAGATTCACGTTTACGCCAAACGACAAACGTCAGATTAAAGTTGAAAATTTCTCAGAAAATAAGCAGATAAAAACCGTCCAGAACAATTCTTATGTATAACACTGGCGTGAAACTACTTATTTTTTAGTTAAAGTAATAAAAAGTTAACGACAATTAAGGGAAAAACTTGGTCACGTGGTACAAATTCACGTTTGCCGTTTGGCGTAAACGTGAATCTTAATCTCTCTTACACCTGCAAAATCACCTAAAAAGTTCATATTTTAGGTGCTTCCTGATGAGACTTGTTTGATATCTTCTTCATATCGCTACATGGTCATTCGTGTTTGGTTAAAGGCAGTGCCGTAGCCAGACCAAACGGCCAACCGAGGCAGGCGGGAGTTGCTAGGGGGGTTCGGGGGCATGCCCCCCCCCTCCCGAGAAATTTTGAACTTTAGTCTCTCGGAAATGCGATTTGCAGCGTTTTCTGGGCCTTTCGGTAACTTTTTTTCGAGTTAATTTAAGTGGAATTTAAAAAGCAATAATCAGAAACAAGCTACATAATCTGGGTGACCGTTAACCTCGCCAATGGTTTTGATCAGTATTTGTTCAAAAAAAATTTGAGTTAACGTACGTAGCCCCTTGAGATCGATGATATGGTAATTTTTTCATAGTATATTGACTGAATTGCTGAATTCTTTGTAATATCATGATGCGTTAAAAATATCCGATGATCGCTTATGTAAAATAAAAATGATCGGCGAAATTCGTCAAAATTTTACCGAGGCGAGTGCCTCGGTTGGCCTCATACTAGCTACGGCGCTGAAAGGTAGTGAGTAAAGACTTCAGCACAGAATTGACCGAAATTTAATACTCGCGAAATTAAGTGAGAACAAGGTAAGTCATAAAATGCAGTAAGAAGCACTTGTTCCATACATTTCGTGAGGCAAGATCAGTTTTGAGAAAGATTTGTCACTGTGACCGGTAATGCAGCTCTCAAATATTTCAAATATCGCAAGCACTCAAAGATGGTTTGAAAGCCCTAGCTTTGGCTTGGTTATAGTAGTGAACCTCATCCACACTTATCTATAATGCCTCGTGTCAAACCGTCTAGCTACCATCTTAAGAAAGAAACTTGGCTTGTTATGAACCTAAAATTTAAGACTATGCGTTTCAAAAACTCTTTTATTAACCGTTTAGTTTTCAAATACGAATTAGCTTTGTAATATGCTGGATTTTAATTCTTACTTTTTATCTTTTTGCACTTTTTACTGGACGTAAAATTTCTTCATTAATTACACTTGTAACAAAAGATATGTATTTTTATCTTTAAAAACTTATTATTATTATTATTATTATTATTAACTTGCCTTGATCCCTCGGATATCGTAAAGCTTGTATCGTCAAGTTGTAAGTCATCCACGACGTAAACCATAGAAAAGATATAAGCTAGCAATTCAATAAGTCTATTCCATTGTAAGATAAGCCTCCACACATAGCAAAACTGAATAATCTGCAAACAAAACGAACAGAAGGTAAGACTTCGGATAAATTCTCACGGATGGGGATTCTGCTGAGTTGGACTTGGTGAGGAAAAGAGGGCGAGTTCACGGTCAAAACAACCTCGTGCAGTAAGCTGCAACCAGTTGTAAAAATGTTGGGACAGTCCAACGAAAAACCGGCCTTTTTTCAAAAATTCTACTCGTTACACATCTGTAAGATATAACTCTCACCCCCTCCCTCCCCTTCATTAAAAGTTGTCCCTATAGAGGTTTTTAATATGGTATAGTATTGCTAGCGACTTTGACAAGGGAGTGGGGGGAGGGGATCACAAGCACAACATACATTGCAAAGGTCATTTTAGCCCAAAAAAGCTACAGCTCCTCAAGTATTTTTGCAACTGCTCGTACAATAGCTAAGCATTAAATTTGCGTATCAGGTCTCGAGAGGGACACCACAAAGGAAACAAACAAAACGGCAACTTGAGGTGGACTTGTTAAAATAAATCGGAATCAAGAAAGACGGAAAGACTCTAGTTTGGACCGAGAAGGAACAAGAAAAGATGAAATATGTAAGTCCCAACGGTGGGTCCAAGACAATGGTTACTACAACTACTACTACAACCACCTCACTACAATGGCGACTTGCCTCTGTTTCCAAGATGGCTGTTTTGGAGAGATATGGCAAACTGGAAGCGAAAATCAGTCTTTTGCACCGGATTTTAATTCTAGCAAAGACATGTTGTAGCACGACACTGCAATAACAGCTCAATATATTTTACACGCAGAAAATCAAGACATAAAGTCTTGCTCTTCTACAAACCATAACGATGCACATTACCTACCTCTAAAAATATACTAATAGACGTTGTTATGAGAATCACAGGCAGACCAATCTTTCTCCAAACCACTCGGCTCCCTGTGGTTCCAGTATCAAAGGTCACATTACACGTGCACTCGCGGTCTTTGCACACAGTCATCGGTATGCTCTTGGTTGTATGCATAGCGTAGCCAGTCAGGAAAAACAGGAATATCCCATACAGGATTAACCGGCCGTAATACACATAACGGCCAAAGCTACGCCACTTATAGCGAAGTAGGTACGTTACAAGGGGATGACTGAGTAGTTTGACACGCTCTTTTGTGACCTGAAACAAACATATGAGCCACTCTATGATCCTTTTTTTTTTTGGTAAAAGTGCTGAGAATGAGCAAGACAGTTTCTAGCGAAAACTCAAACATATAGCTTGTAAGTGGTCGAATTAAAATGGCATTCGCCAAACTGACTAAAAAAAAAACATAGGCACGTTAAACGTGCATGAGCTATTTTGAATGCTTCAGTGTAACTATAATACTTCGGTGTAACCTTACCAAGAGTGATGAATCTACCTTTTTCATCCTAATGTAGATTTAGTTTTTGTGCGAAATTGGGTATTGCGCTACATAAATGAGTCGATGCTCAACCTATATATTCACTTTCCTCTGTCTTTCCCTGTTACATCTGGTGCAAGTTACACAAATTGTTAAAGTAAAGTAAATATCTACTCACCAAACGTTGATTAGAAGGAAAACTCTAAGGTTTTCTCGGAGTTTCTTAAGCCAAAATGTGACTCATCGAATACTGAATAGTTACGAAATACCAGGAGTTTTATCATGATTGTGGTAGATGGTTGCATCATCATAATTCACGAGGTTTTCACGTGCGATTCTACTCAGTGAAACAGTCTTTTACTCCGACAACTTATTTCTTCATGTTTTAAAAGCTATTGCTTCTTAAAAGACAAGAGCCTTTTTTAAGGCATTGGTTACAAAACGAAACAGGTCTTCATATGTCCAAGTTACTATTTATCATTGTGAAAAGCCAATCTGCATGAGATGTACAGTCACACAGCTGGCAAGTGAAAGTGTTGGACTTTGCCCCCTTTCGTGGTTCGTACGTGAGGGAATTCGAGTTATCACACAGTATTAAACAGAATTATAAAAATAACTCATGCACACAATTTGCATGTGAAGATGTTGGTCTTTGGCACCTTTTACAATTCGGACGTAAAAAAGAGGCAAATTGTTTTACTACAAAATTTTCTCAAGCGATTTTAAGAAATCACCTCGGCGTTATTAGGTTGATAGATAATGATAAATGTAAGGTTGATAGCTTTACATTTATTAACTTCCAAGAAAATTATCAAACTGCCGAAATATATTTCTACTTGTATCATGTTACTCCACTCAATACAACAGTATCTTATTATTGTGTCAACTAGCTTCTTCCAATTTTATTCCCTAACGCTACTGTTTCTACTTAAGTTAAGCATCTTTACTAAAGAAAATACGTTTCAGAAACTATAATACTTAGTATGCAGGAAGGATGTATCATGTTGTTCACTTATTATTCTTTTTTTTTGTTTTGCCAGAACGAAAAAGGTCCGTTGAACTTTGTAAGCGAGAGAATAATATTTTTACAGCTTGTTTACAGGATTAACAATGTTCGGCACAGCTTTCACAAAAATAAGCTGCCTTTTTAAACTTCTAAAACCACCTTTTATAGGGCGCATACTTTCGAATTAAAGTCTATATCTAAATATCAATTATAGCTTCATTGGAAGAGCTTTGAAAATATTTGATCTTTTATACTCTACCCAGTTGCAGCAGGTGAAACAGAACTCATACTGCCGTGCGTTGTACCGATAGCCGAATTAGGTCAGAAAAGCCTTGAGGCAGCGTCCATACTAAAATATGAACCCTTAAAAAGCTGCATCACTGTACACAGCGTTTGAATCATGAAGATATTTAATGTAATTCTTCCAAACACCTGTAGCCGTAATAAAAGACGAAAAAATTGTGAAGAATCAAGATGGCGGTCTCAAAGTGCCCTTGTTCGACCTTTACCAATACCATGTTTAAATAGATGCCAAGATCTCATTGGTTCCTAAGCATCAACTCATAGTACCTTTAACCTTATTGGCTCTTGCAACAAACATCCCAACATACAAAGATACAAAGCCACAAAGATACATACGCTCACACCACTGACATATGAGCTATTTTTTCAAAATAGCTCAAAAAGAACGGAATTTCAACAAATGTCTGCGCATTCCCGCCATAAAGGAATTTCAGTAGCACACTAACGTACTTTGAATTAAAAACTCTCGTAAAAAAAAACCGCTCCCCTGAGCAACCAGTTGTTTTTTTTTTTGTTAGCCTGCGAATAGAGCCGTATCCCCTCGTTCCTCGTCGCTAGGGAGGAAACGTCAGGAGAGGGGAATGGACTGTCGTTAGTCCGGATTCTTTGATACACTTACCATAAGCATCAGAGGATGGTTGCTTTTTATTTCCACTTGCTTGCTGGCGTTCTCAGGTAAAGCTGACTTGATTTTATACATGACAGCATCTAAGCCACTCTCCTCATGCTCAACTGTCTCTGACGTCATAAATCCTGCCCACTCAAGACTGACGTCATCCAGGAACTCATAGCTAAGGGTGATAGCGTACTGTGGATGGTCTACAGGGTACCCATTCGACTTGACGCAGCGATTGAAGACTTTCTCCGCAACCTCTACGATAGGAGAAGATAAAACCGAGAAAGGGCTTGATGCGGTGCATCAGTAAGGAATCGAAACCTTTTCGCTCAAAACCCGAATTGTAGGCAAGGCTACGAAAATGGCGCTTCATCCTTGATTTTATTATGTACAAAGTTGTGGGCGCAATCTTGAATGACGACACAAATTGTGATTCTATTTAAAAACTTCATCCGTTCATGTGACACATTGTTCATTTTTTAAGCGTTTTGGCCCAGCTGATACCTACACTAAAATGGTCAAACGGATTAAGCGAAGCATGTCAGAAACAGATATAATAAGAACCCGCTTTTGAAGACGGAAATTAGCTTCTTATTGTGTACGGATAGAAAAAGAAGCTTTTCGAAAACGCTTGGTTCAGATGATGCAAAAAACGGAGGAAACAAGAATCAACATACCCTAGACTAACTTAAATTAATAAAATAGACGGTCAAAATCAATAGGAGAATGCCAGTATAACGCGGAACTCTTGATGCAGTTTCTTTTTAACACGAAAACCGATGTTTGTGCAAACACATTAGTGCGCATATCAGATGAAGTGCAGAGTCATTGCGATTAACTGTTTCTTGAAAATCTAAAGGATGTAAACAGGGCTTCAAAACCATTAATTAAGGCAAAAGAAATAGGAATTATAATACATATCACGATTTTTTTGAGTGAAAAAACTAAAAAGGACGAAGGCAAAAGCTGCCACAATGGAACACTTACCGGGTAGTTTTTTGATGAGCTTTCTCATCGGTGTGTTAATAAAGTTTCCTTCTTTGGTCTTATTGCGCATGGCTTGTCTCCAATCCTTGTGTTGAATAATAACAAGTGCTACTTCCCTTGGGAAAAAAAAGAGGACACTATATCACTATGGTTTACATGAGCTTTCTATGAGAGAGTGATAACTGCTTTAAATCGTTTAACATCGACAAACGGAAATAGATCCTCTACTCTTTTCGACTAAGGGACGGACAGTGTACGCCCCGTCCCAGAGTACTTTCTTTAAATGAAGGTATGATTATCGCAGTGGTAATTGTAATCCAAGCAATTTCAAATTAACCCGAAAAAAAAAATCGGGACTTCAACGAGTTTCGAACCCATGGCCTCTACGATAGCACTGCAGTGCTCTACCAATTGAGCTATGAAGATCCAGGGAGCAGGCCAAATTGTTGAGTTAATCTTTTTTTTCGGGTTGCCGTAAATCCTCTATTAAGCCCCCCTTTTCAGCGGAGGAAAGTTAATAAGCCCCCCTCCCCCTTCCCCCCTCCCCGTCTCCTCCATCGTTATACTTCACAAAAAATTAACGTGGACTGCTCAGTTATGGTTTATTGAGGCTGGAAAATCATATTATTTTTGGTCTTCCGCCGCATGACCCCCAACTTTTCCAAATTTACGCTCTAGTTCTCTGTGGAGAGTTGTTACCATTTTCTTATTGTTAGAAAAAGCAGTATAACGCCCGGGAACTGCCACAAGTCCGTCTTCGAGAAATCTTGCTCCCGTTGATACGTTTCGCTAAACTAAATACCCCCCCCCCCGCCTCTTTTACGCCTCCCATCAAAAAATAATGGAGGATTTACGGTAATTTGCAATAGTTAAAATTGCAATTACAATTTCGATGATCATGTCTTCATTGAAATTTGTATTTCCTCAGTTCACCTCATCTTCAGAGTACTTTCTCTTAATCAGAGTTGGCGTGAGTACCAGGAAAACGACAAGATGAACTCGGGACTACCATAAACAAACTATATCTAATACGAAGTAAACAAACAACAACAACAACAACAACAAAATAAACAAATAGGGTAAAATTTAAGAAATGCGAAGCAAAGGCGCTTGGCCATAACGTTTGGATCTAAAGGTCGCTGTTTCAAAGTGTTTACAAATCCTTGAGGCATTTGCTTCTTGAATTTTTCTTAGCCCGTATTTAAGTACTTACTTGTGATTATTTTCAACGGCCATATCGAGACAATTTCTTCCAGCACTGTCTGTCAATGTAATGTTAGCTTTCCTTGACAAAAGCAGTTTCACCATCTCCACGTGGCCTTCACGTGCAGCAAGGTGAAGTGGGGTAGTCTGAAAAAAAAAAAGGAAGACTTAAGGGACAGGCTAGCCAGATTTGCCGAGCAGGGAGACTTTCATCGCGGTATTACGCCACTTCGATACCGGGATCCCAGTTAACCGGGCCAGCTTAGTTGTTATGTAAACACAAAGCTGATTTTTGTTGCGTTTAACAAACGTGCCGCGATTCAAGACTCACTATGGAAGTTTCATCATTTCGTTTTTATTCTCCATTAGTTATAAGGGCGTTGCCCTTTGTAAGTAATCTTATTCAACAAATGTGTTTTCACCAACATGTTCCTTCAACCTCATTCCCAGCGTTCTATCCGGCGGGTAGGAGAGAACCCTGGGAACGAGGTTGCATGTTCCTTTTACCTTTGCTTTATCAGTAGGATCCACAGGACAGTCAGCATCAAGAAGAACAGTGGCTGCATCCACCCAGCCCTTTGCTGCCGCACAATCCAGCGGCGTCCATAAGTTGGCATTCCTGTGCACAAAGATCCGTTAGAAGTATTGACTACGAACTTTCGTAGGATGTCGATTTATGGCTTCGGATATTTAGTGAAAGCGATTGCACAGCTCGTATGACCTTGAGAAAAATCCGGTCAAGGAAACTGCCTGGCTAATGATCTTTAATAATCAAATAGTGTTTATTGGCAAAATAACGACTAGATTTGCTGCGAGGCTGGCAGTTTTGTTTGTCGAGCGCGCAAGTGAGCGGCCAAGCTGCGCGCGCGTTTTCGCAACGTTTTTCTCCCTCTCGCCAAACAAACTGCCAGCTCCGCAGGCTACGTGATTTGTATCACTGTCCCTTTTATGCGTTTTTGTTAACAGTTACTCTGCTTAGTTCGATAAGTACGGATTGAACGGCTAGGATAGAAAAACTTCACCACTTCTACCTCCGGCTCTGGGCTTAAAAACACACAAATGAATATGCTTTTCCGTTAAGAAATAATTTTAATTTTAAGGCTGCTTTTAGTGGAGTTATTCAGTGAAAGGATTTTTCGTCCGTAGCAAAAAAGAAGTAACCTCCGTGATAAAGTCATGATCTTCTTCTCACCTTGCATCGATAGCAGCTCCTCTATCAAGCAATTCTTTAGCGACTTTGTCATTGCCATTTAGTGCAGCTACATGTAGCGGAGTGTTGGAAGCATCATCTTCGTCATTTATTATGGACATATCCCTCTTCAGAAGAGCACATACTGTTCTGTAAAATGGCCACAAATTAATAATTATGAGACCAGCTAGACTGTTTAATAGAGACCATAAGATACAGAAGCGTTTCCGTGTACGGGTACGGGTACGGGTAAATAACCTGTACGCGCAGCCGTAAATACGGGTAGATTGCCTCTTACCCCGCGGAGAAACGGGTAGGCTACCGGGTAGAATGGTTGACGCCACTATCACTTCTGGGAAATCGTGGTCACCTGTTGTATAACTACTTTTGACGTGGCAAACATGTTCGTCTGTCCGTACCCGTGGAAAGAAACGGTGTATCTTAAGGTCACTAATGTCCTCTATTTTCCTGTCAAGTCGTCGAGCTAGGAAATCATGGTCAACTTTTGTGTAACTACGTGGCAAACAGTTTTGTCAACCTATACCAGTAGACAGAAAAGGTGTATCTTAAGCCCACTAATGTCCTCTATTTTCCTCTAAAAACGTCGAGCTTGATCGCTTACTTTAACGGGCCACCATATTTGGTTCAAACAACCCGTTGGGATAGCCGGCGAAGAAGTGTATAGCCTCTCCGTTTTAATGATCTCTTACGCGGAAACAAGGGAATGTAATCAGACTAGTGAGAAGGGTCTTTAGGCTGTGTTTCGTATCTACTACTAAATTTAGAGCTTTGCCCTGGGAGGCCTGGAATTTGTCACTAGGAGAACCGGGATCAAATTTTTAGAACTTATGATCCGTGCGCCTCTTTAGGCACGGATCCGATTTATGAGGTCCGCCACATTCCGTCTAACAGTAGGGCTAAAGCGAACACAAGGAAGCTGAGTACAGCCTGCTTTCTCGTTAAATTTCTAGACTGAATATGACACCAACGGCCAGAGTTACCTTATCCGCCCAAATTTGGCCGCCAAGTGGAGTGGCGTCAGGGATCCATCGTTTTTACAGTCAATGCAACAACCATTGTCCAGAAGAAGCTAAAAGAAAATAAAAAATGAACCCCTTAGAACCAAGCGCCACTGGTGGAGCAACTGGCCTATCACTCCATGAGTCTACGTACATGTACACCTTACTACACCTACAGTCCTCACCTTACGCTCTTCGGCGAACACATAATCTGAAATCTTATTCTGATTCTTACCGTTTGTAAAAGTAATAAAGGTTGCATGTATGTCTGTTTGGCCTCCATTGCCGATCGCAATCATAAGTTCCTAGCTTTTGAAAATAATTTTGGCACGGCCCTGACGTCGGAAAGAAAGCATTACCTTCCTTGTCCCCAATTAAAGGAAAAAAGCCTTATGCAGTAGTTGGAACTTTACCTGCGTAGCAGAAGCCATTTACTTTTTAGGGCGAAAAGGAGCAATATCGAGGACGCGAGCTCTATTAGCCACTCTGAGGTTGGGCTGGAGACTGGGTCGAGTTGGTTGTCAAAGTGCATTGTGGGACGAATTTGTCGCCATGTTGAAAATGTGTTTCTTAAAACAGTCCCACAATGCACCTTGAAACAATCTCAACACGGCCTCCCGTGCAACTTCAAAGTGGCTATTTAACAATAAGTCGCCGAAGGCGACGTGAATATCGGCGAATAGTCACCGAGACGAAGTCGAGGTGACTATTCGCCGATATTCACTTCGCCTGATTGTTTTAGTAAAATAATACATTGATGATTATTCGAGAAAATAAAATTATTGATCAATTTCCGACTCCGAAACATCATTAAATCTGGCTGCCATTTTCAAAGTCGATTGTGGTGTGTTTGTAACCAGCCAATAGAAGCGTTTGTTTTTCTGTGTCAAGCGTTACAAGAATTTTGCAGTTAATCAAAAAGCAAGCAATTTTGGCAGCTATGTGATAAAAGAACTTGCGCATGCTTTTAGCTGTGCGTATATCGAGTTATGGATGCACTTGGGAAGTTTGGAGAGCACTCAAGAACCTAGAGCTGCTCTCGGCTGTGCCTCAAGCAATTCTTACGCATCTTTCATGCTCTGAAAACTTCTTGCGTGCATCCAAAACTCGATATACGCACATTAAGCATGAACAAATTCTAAAATTATAAATAACCTTAAAAACTAACCAGCGCCTGCCGCGCAAGCTATTACGGGTGTCTGTAAAACCAGGAACAGGCCCGGAACACCCCAGAACACCCGGGAACACTTCCGGAACATCCCCGGAACATGATTTTTTAGATTTCTTTGGGGGTTTTTATAATTTTTTGCCTAATTTTTGTAATTAAGGGTGTTCGGGGCGGTCTGGCCCATCATGGGGGTGTTCCGCAGTATTCCGAGATGATCCGGGGTGTTCCAGGGTGTTTTGGGCCTGTTGCGGCTTTTACTGACACCCTGCTATAAGAACTTACTTGGACAATTCTAACATATCCTTTTTTGGCTGCAACATGTAGTGGAGTGTTCTCATACTTGTCATACTCCTCGACAAGTGCCTTGCCTTTGCCAGATTTAAGAAGAAACTGAAGGACAAAAGAAAAAAGAAGTCGAGCGGCAGAGATAAAGAGGTGAGAAAAGCAATTAGCGGGGTCTATGGTGCTGCGTAATGTCCGTAAGACGCGGCAGTTTTGGTAAATTTCGTGACACAACTCCATTAAGTCTGGGGTTCTTGTAGACTACGATAGAGCGAACGAAACGCGAGCGCGCGTGAATTCACCCCACGCGAGAAAGGCGAGACGCGGCGATTAGAGAGAGAGAGAGAGAGAGCAAAAAGGAACTTTTTGTAAATAAAAGACGTCACTTAGTTAGAGTTTGTTTACATTTCAATTGAGTCGGCGATCATTTTTTATGATTTTGTTGCCAAAAAAAAAAATTATAACGACCAGTAAACACCGACAAGCCAAATTTTGTCTGTTTCTTGGTATTTGTTGGTGCAGCTGTTTCATTTACAGCTAAAATTTCATCCTTCGAAACTGTCGCGAAACGAGAAGCCAGTTTGAATCCCGTCCCAAAACAGTGAATATCCAAGGATATTCCGAGTTACAGGAGCCAATCAGAACGCGCAAAAATTACTATCCACTGATTTGGTGAACACTAATAATAAATAGCTAGTGTATGCATACCTCAAGAGTCTCAATGCAACCTTCAGCTGCGGCTCGATATATGGGTGTCGCATCATCAATATCCTTTGCGCTGATATCAGCACCGCGAGCCAAAAGGCTTTTGACTGTCTCTAGGTGATTCTTAGATGCTGCTATAAGCAAAGGACTGTCTTTGTCCTTATCTCGACACTCAATGTAGGCACCTCTAAAAATGAAACGATGAGCGCAAGGAGCAAAGATTAACATAGTTGGTTTATAGTACATGACCTTCTGTGAGGCTTTTCAGCTCGTACAAACCGGGATACAAAACCTTTAAACACATTCCTCAATTTTCGGTCGCAATTTCCGGAAAATGATCTAACCACTAACCTTCCGTCCGAAAGTTTCGAAGTTTAGGTTAAATGGTAACTTAAGCAATTTAACATTTCCAATTTCCACTTGGATAATGAGTGGTACACGAAACCCACGATGTGGGTGTGCTACCTGGGTACCAAGTAGACAAGTGAGATAGGAAAGAAAAAAGCAATGGTAATTTTCACACCAGCAGACGGAAAAATCTTCTGCACACGGACAAGTCGTCCACCCTTGTTGTTCGCCAGGCGTAAATTTACATCGGACTTTAGACGACTTGTCTGTCTATACAAACAAATTGACCAGGGAAAATCAATCATCTTTATAGACGAACAAATCGGACGACGTTGCGCGTGCAACATGTTTTCCTTCCGTTTTCAGTTATAGACCCATCTACTTGTAAACAGAAACACATCCAACTACACGTCCGCCTCCAGCTTGTATTGAGATGAATATAAATTCGATTCATTCTCACGTTTTTAAATACTTAATTAAAAACCAGGGTCCAGTTGTTCGAAGGCCGACTAGCGCTAACCCGAGGTTGTTCAAAAGCATTTTCTCGGATAACATTTTCTGCTCTTTTTAGAACATGCGATCATCAAATTGTATATATAAAGAGAATTGAACTGAATTTACTTTTCAAGGTTTCATATCTGAATTCAAATTTCCACTAACCCTGGGTTACCTTAACCCAGCTTTAGACAACCAGGGTTTTTCAACAAGAGCAGGCGGAGAAGGAAAAAACTCGCGGCGAAGGCGTGACTTGCAAGCACTGAAGGTGCGAATGAGTTTCTGGAAAAAATTTTTAAATCTACGCCTTTTAGAACGCATTTTCAGCAGTCTGGAGCAAAAATTAAGGGTGTTTAAACAGATCACAGACATTATTACATTTTGGCTTTTTTTCAGTGTCCGCACATGAATACTCTCTTTAAACTGGGGTTATTTCCAAAGAAAAGTAGGTGGCGAGTTCACGTGAAATGGGCGGCGAATTTCGCCGGCCACCGGCTCATATGAGCTTAAGCAACTACGACGACGACCACAACGACGACTTCAACAAAACAATAGGGTTAAGTGATGTTACACGGAACGATTCGCAACGACGATTTTTAGCGCAAGACAACCTTGCAATATTGGAACAATGTTGCAACCATTCGAAACAATGTCGCAACAATGATGCAACGTTGTGTTGCGCTAAGAATCGTCGTTGCGAATCGTCCCGTGTAACATCACCTTAATGATCAAAACAACAGCTCTGCACGTGCATCACGCTTTTTAGTACATTTCTTTGACGTCCACTGCACGACTACGACGTCAAACCTCCTAATTTGACGTTTTAAGGAGGAAGTGGACATACGACGACGAATTTTCCTTCCTCTTTTTGAACCTGAGTAAAATCCTTAAGGATTCAACTCCAGGAAAAGTCGCCTGCATTTGACGTATCGAGCGGGTCCAAAAAGACGCGATTAAGTTTGAAAGAACTCAAATTCATTTTTTTACCGACGTTTTCACTGCCGTCTTCGTCGTCCTTGCTTAAGGTCCCTATATTGAAAACCGTGAACAACCCGGCCATGTAAATGTAAAACGCATTTTAATCAGCACTGCTAAAGCTTGTTTCAAAGTGCTTTTTCTATTGCAGTTATAAACCCCTCCGTTCTAAACCCTCCGGCTTAAACTCCTTACGAAGATGTAAAACCCCAGGGCTTATAAGCAGCAGTTCACAGCAGTCCGCCTTTCAGACGGTTTAGAGTGTCTACATTTTTTAACAGGCTACCGTCTGAGACAACTTGTCCGTCTTCTAGAGTGAACACGGCTATTAGCTTACCTGCTTAGGAGATAGTCAACAATCTCTACCCTGTTAAACTGAGCTGCTCTATGCAGTGGTGTTTCTTGACTCGCATTCTTTGCTTCTATATTGGCATCATGTTCTATTAACATCTTGACAATGTCCAAATCTCCACCATTGGCCGCCAGATGCAATGGAGTGCTCATGTTAACCTTGTGTGCATTAACGTTTGCTCCTTTGTCCAGACAGAGCTTTGCCAGGTTAATATCACCATCCTCAACTGCAAGGTGAAGGGGTGTTTGTTCTTCTCGATCTTGGTCTGTTACCATTTTGGACACTATGGACCATCCACCTTGCTCTTCAGCTAAGTACAGAATAGTGTAATAATAACGACAATGATAATCAAATGATAATGATAGTGATAACGATGATAATGATAATAATAATAATGATAATGCTAATTATCATAATAATAATAATGATAATGCTAATTATCATAATAATAATAATGATAATGATTATAATAATGAAAATAATGATGATGATGACAAGGACGATAATGTTGATGATGATGATGATAATAATTTTAATTATAAAACGAAATTAATACAGCAGACCAACTGTCCAAAACACTAAAATTTACCATGTCAAAGCCCTATGTTTAAACTCTCTTGTAAAAGACCACCTCTTGTAAGTGCTTGTGATCACTTTATGCTGACAGTTTTCTTATAATTTTTCCTTTGTTTTTAACCTCTCATTGGCAATCAACCACTGCATGGTCTACTGATCTCTATGTTCACTGTATGTACAATGCTGTAGCACGCATGGCTAGCAGTTTTGTTTAAAAAGGGGCAACGGAGGGAAGCAGGAGTGAGCGGCGAAGCCACAAAGAGAGTGGGGCGGAAACAACGAAAACAGTGCAGTGTTGTACGTTTCTTGTGATTTCACCACTCATTTTCAATTTTGTGCGTCCCAGACAAACTTGACTGATACACAGCAAACAATGCTACTCAGAGTACAGGAGCGGATCTAAGGGGAGGGTGCAGGGGGTGCACCCCCCCCCCCCCTGAGATGACCTGTGGCTTTCTAATACAACTGGTATTCTGCAAAATATGGAGATATGTATGATGTGTATTATGTTATTGCCGAGTCAAAAGCCTCCATCTTCGTATTCCATTATAAAATTTGTTTACTAATCAGTTACGCCATTCCTTAGTGGTGCCCGTGACGATATAGAACAACTGCACATATCATAACTATGAAACCGTAGTTAGTTGTTAACTGAGTTAACTGTAGGAATGGTGGCACCTCTTCCTGGAAGTGACCCCCTGCAGTTAGATTCTCGCAAGTGACCACCTCTTGTAAATGTCCTATAGCTCAATCTTGGTATCTTACTATCTTCTGAGGGTGGTAGGACAAGAGACTTTTCCTCCTGCCCACCAAAAACCAGGAAAATGAGGCCTCTGCTAGCAGGGAATGCTGATTCTAGAGTAATTTTAATGTTTTGGAGTGGGAAAGAGTGCCAAAGAAAATTCTAATTACAGTAATGTGAAAATTGATTTTCCCTTGGTATAAGCTGCCCTCTTTCTCCTTTGTAGATCCTAAAGCAACACCCTGAATTCCTTAATAGCTACACACCTGTTTCAAACAACAGCTTGGCGACTTCAAGACTTCCTTCCATACAAGCAAAATGCATAGGTGTCATTTGTTCCTCATCCAAGCTTCTTAAGTTAGCTCCAGCATCAATGAGGCATTTGGCAACAGGAAAAGAACCCTGGCTGGATGCCACATGCAAAGGAGTCATCTGAGTTTTATCCTTGGCCTGAAATATTTAAACACAATATAATTTATGTAACTCAACCATTTGAGCTTGCAAAATTTGGAAGATGCTTATGTTATACTGTTTTTCATGTCAGACACTAATGTTAATGGCGATTAATGTCATGCAAGACAGCAACCAGGCAAGTTAGCTGTTTTGGTACCATTCAAAGCCATGTGAAGTTGAAAATGTTGAAACACCGATCTGTTTTGAATAAATCCTATACAGTTAGTATTGAATTCAGCTATTGCATGATTAACTCAAGAATTATCTCGAACTCCGATTGGACGGTGCGGTGCTAATCTACCTTATAGCAGAGATAATACCCTCCTCAAACTGTATAATTCTTCCAATCGTATGAAAGCCAAATTCAGTAATTGTAAATTATTCTCCAAGCACATTTCTCTGCCTCAAGCTTCTTTATCTTTAAATGTACTGTTTACAGATGTCATTTTACAAGTGCGACTGCCATAACCGGGGCCACCTAGACAAAGATGACCAATCGGATTACAGGAAAATAACAATACTTTTTTTCAGAAAGTTAGTTGCCAGTCATTACTAGCAAGAAACGAAATAAACAACATGGAGTGAAATCAATCAATTACAACCTACAGACAAAACCTTTTGAACCGGCTGAAGAAAGCAAGTGTTTCCCGAGAGGTCTGTTAGAAAGAGTGATGGAGGCAAAAAATGTAAACAACAATTTTTGACTTGTGGTCGCATGTTTATTGCAAAGCACAGCAATAGTGGTGAAGAAATTGCTGGTAGATGACAAAATAACAGCGTGTGTCAAAGAAATATGTCTCCTGGGTGTTGCATGCAAAGTTTTGAACAGAAAAACATTGTCTAATGAAATATTTTGCATTCCTGAAAAACATTAGCCATAAATATAAAATCTTCTGCTTTGAGTAACTGATTGTTTTTTTATGAGCTGCTGATTGGCCCACAACTAAATTTCTTGGAATGTACTGTTATTTTCCTGTAATCAGATTGGTTAACTTTGTCTGATTGGTCCCAGTTACAGTAGTCGCACTGCAAAAGATCTTTTTTTTAATCACCTCAATATCAATACATGGATCAGTCAAAAGTTCTTGAACAGCATCAGGGTTTCCCTTTGCAACAGCATAATGCAGTGGAGTTGAACCATAACTGTCCTTAGCATTTACATTGGCTTTCCTTGACAAAAGGTACAATATCATAGTCTCCCCAACATTAGATGTCTGCTCTTTTGGTATAAATGAATTAGAATTTCTTTTCTCCAATGACAAGAAATCCTTGCTGAATAGTTTAGTTCCTAATGATGAGCCTAGAAGGCGACTTTTTGCGCCCTTCCCAAAACTCCCAGATCCCCCATCTTTCTTCTTGTCTTCTTTCTTTAGAGTCAAGCCAACATCGCTCATGTTTTCCATGCTGGGACTTGGTGTCACTTGAGGTGTTGGACGTGCAGAGCCATTATAGGTTCTTGGGACTGGACGAAATCTGGCAGCATAGTGAAGGGGTGTGGCATCATCTTCTCCTTTTGCTTCAATGTCTATAAGTTTAAAAAGGGAAATTCAGGTTATTTTAATCTAGTTTAATTTTCAACTTCCTTGACTGTTCTTAATCATGAATATTTATAATGGAAAGGGAAACATAGTTAACATATCACACTTAACACATCACATTAAGTACTATGTATTAAGTGTTCTATATATGCATACCTGCACCAGATTCCAGTAACAGCTTGACAATGTGAAGGTGATTGTAACGCACAGCATAATGCAATGCAGTTGTGTTGTCCTGGTCTTTCTTGTTGATTTTCTTGTTTCCCTTTCCTAACTTTTCCAGTCTTCTCTCAACAAGGTCACGCTTTCCATCTCTTGCTGCCTGTTACACAAAAAATTATTGGTCTTCAATTTAGAAACAGATTGAATAACTTCAATGTTGGTAAGAACAGTAATTATCACAAAAGAACACAACATTAGATAAGGCAAGATAACTCATCCCTTTCTTAAGACATCCTTAGTGCTAGATGCATGTTCATATTATTCAGAGGTAATCAGGGTCAACTTAGGCTTGTCGAGGCCATGCAAATTGAATCTGGGTAACCATTATAGGTAATAGTTTAATTATTTAGTATCCAATTGAGGAATTACAAAGTGGTACAAATAAACAGGCTTTGGTGTGGCTTCTTTCTTCCTTAGCTGGGATACGAACAAAAAGCCAATAACATTCTCAAACTCATTAATAGTTCATAAAGAAAATACAAAGGAATTTAATGTCTAATGAGGGTTTGGAAATCAGATGAAAAACTGTTCATTTCTCATTCTGCATCCTTAATTTCCCCTTCTAAAATCATTTTGTTTGAGAAGTGAAATCAAGCATTGGACACAGTGTTTCATCAACAGATGAAGCACCTCGAAGTTCGTCAAAAATACTCCGCTGCGTGTTGCATTTCTAACTTTCTTCTTGGTGTTTCATCTGGTGATAAAACACTGACTAGTGTGTCTAAAGCTTGATATATTACATCAAAAGCTATGGCTACTTTGTGAAAGATATGACAAAGAGGATGACTTTTCAGAGGGCAAAGGAGAAATTATGTGGTTACATATTCAAGCTTCAGTATTACTTTGGCATTGCTAACGATGGCACAGTAAACAAATAATTTGATGATATAAGGTACACATCAATAGTTACAATTTTCTTTTTCTGAAACAGTAAAACTAATCCCAATGGTTGTTTTGACTCTTTGTTTTGGTTGGTTTAGTTCTTCTGCTTCTGCTCACCACTTGAAAGCCTAGTCTTAAAATGGTACGTAGCAGAGTGGTAAGTGGAATCAGACAGCTGTTTTCACTAGAACATAATGATCTAATCTCTTAATGACTCAGACTCTGACTCAGTTATTTGTGAAAACAAGCCTTCAGAAAAAAATATTTGGATCAATATCACATGTCCTCAAACCTCAACTTTCTGTGCTTTTCTATGAAGAAGCAAAGCAAAAATAAATGGAAACTGAAATCTTCAGGGTCACAAGAAGATAATGTAGGCGATTCATTTTATACAAATAATTCCCCAGTACAATAAGATGCAAAAATGATTGGGTAAAAACTATTTGCAAATATGGAATGTAGCAAAACAATCCATGAAAATCTGGATTAACTGACTAATTTGGGCCAACTGAAAAAAGGCCATTGAAGCAAAGAATGGGCTTGTTTATTTTTGGTAAAACAAATGTGGAAGGCCTAGAAGCTTTTTGAATATAAATGGCAGCTCTCTTGTGTGCAAATACTCTTAAATTATTTATTGAGACATCACCCATAAAGGAAGTAAAAGTTGGAATTACCAACGGCCATTGTTCAAGAGAAAAGTCTGATAAGTTATAAATATTCAGTGCAACGTCACCATATTAAAGCTTAGAAACGTGATAATTTATTTTAAATTAAAGCAAGTCTATTCATTTTTTGTATTCATGGGTATAATAATTTCAACCTTAAAACCTATAGTTATTGGAGAACATGATAAACGAAATTACGGAGTGATCCGGCAAAACTGACACTTCAGAAATTATTAATTTGATTAACAGCTGCACATTAATAACGTTATTTTGCACTCGCGCGCGCTGGCGAATTTTCGCTATAGCTAAACAACACAATATTTAAAATATGGTTAGCTCGAAAACAAAACAATGACACTATAAACCAGCCTAACGTTGTTCAAGAGGAATGAAAACCTTCTCTCTAATGTGAAATGATGTCATGTGCTTTTTCTGTTATTGAGCTTTGAGTCTAGGACGCGTGAAATAACCAGATAGTCACATGAAATTGACCGAGTTTATGAGCTATTTAGTCGCGTTAACTTAATGCGTCTAATTTGTTAAATTACTTAAAGTTCAATCACCTGATGAAGAGATACTGTAGCATTTTCGACACTTTCCCTCTCTAATCCCATCAGATTTTTCGACGATCGCGAAGTTAGAATACACACTGAAGGCATGGAAGAGTGCAGCGCGCTTGAGCTATCCTTGTCACTCTTTCGCGACTTCATCCCAAGTAGCGGCGTTAGCAAAATATTTCCTGCTCCAGCCTCCTTTTTCAGCGACATTATTAGGTTTTCAAGAATCGCTGACCACGAGGAAGGGCCTATTTCGTTGCAATTCACATTTTATCCCACCGGCAACTCCGCACGCAGCTTTTACGCATTCATCCTCCATGTTTACTATCACAACCGATAACCCCTGGAAACTACCAACGCTTCTCGTCCCCAGGCCTTTGAGGTGGTTCGTCTTTCGTCTTTGCAAATTTGGCGGACATTTTGGAATTTTGTTTTTGTGTTTTTCTTCTAAACAGAATGTCTTTACAACGAAATTACGTGCTAAAGGACATGAAGAAAATTGTGAGAAGATGGTAGAGTCGTAAAAAAAAATGAGTTCCCCTATTTCTAGCCTGAAGAAAGGCAAAAGAAACCCTCTGGAACCAAGGTAACCATTTGTAAACATAAAACTTCGAAACGTTTCATTGAATTTTAAAATCAGGAGCTTATTATTAATACTGTCCAATAACTTACTGTTTTGTGAATATAAGAAAAATATGTCTTTTTTTTTTTCACTATACGTAGTTACGTTTGTGCATGTTCTTTCATGTTATTTTAGCATCTTGTTAGTTTAAGGGCTACAATGATCAAATTTGCATCGCGAATCTGTTTTTCATTCTAAAGCTTAGTCTTACATGAGATTGACACAATGAATAATGTCGTATGTTTTTTGTATTTTAGACTATTTACTGATTCAAGCTAGAATAATACAGAAAATAACCAAAAAGTCTCATTCTACATTCTACAGTAAATATATTGTTTACACCCATCTCATTGTCGCCTAAACTCGTCATTTTGCATAATTTTGAACACTTAATATTTAATTTGTTTTCGTCTTTGTTATCAAGCAATGGTCCCCTAAAAGTAACGAAAGCCGCGAACTTTCCAATCATTCAAACCATGATGAGTACAGTGCAGGTAGTATCATTTCAACTTTCAAATTTGTCTGCAAATAACTACGTACATACAGTCAATGCTCATACTGAGTTGAGGAAAGTTTGGTATTTGGTAAATTTGGTTTTTAGAGCTGTGCTCATGTGCAGTTTGCCCTAAGTTGTGTTTTGATGACAATGGCACTCCATGTTTATCCCAAGAAATTACACATAAACAAATTAAAAGAAGGGTACCAGTTGACTTATATTTAAACACAGGACATGTTTAAGAAAAATATTGTTATTTGTTACAGTTTTTCAAGGTTTGATCAATTTCAGGCAAATTAGATTTTCATTTTTGATTTGCTTACCATAGAAAAGGCAGGGTTTATTAGGTTGACCAACTCTATAGTTATTCCGTGGGATGCCTGTGGCACTCCCACAGTAAAAATGCGGTTCGGTTGTACCCAAAATTGCAAAGCCAGCCAATAGGATTGCCTAAAATCTTTATCAATTATCTCTTCTTCCAAGCCGACCAATCAGATTGTACAAACTCTGTATCGATTTTTAATCGATTTGCTTCCTCTGAAGAACGTTGAAATCAGAATGTTCCTTGCCAAATTTGTCGCACTTGAGTTTTCCCACTCATGGTTTAGGATGGCTCGTTAATCGGCGAAATCCTTCGGGATACTGGCAAGTCACGAAAGGCGACCTAAGCCAAATTATTTCTTTCCTTCATGATTCTTTTTTGTTTAGGTCTAGCTTTTTCATAAGGTTTTAGTAGGGTCTGGTTGCGGGCCGTGATTTCCGATAGATTTTTCTGTTCGGAGTTTGCCAGTTTTTGCCGAGCACAGCTAGAGTTCAGTTATTTTCTTTTCTCATCAAAAACACCTTGACGATGGGAGGTTAAATCGCGTAAATTTCAACTTGTAGCCTTGACGATTGGCGGTGAAATCGCGAAAATATTGTCCTCGTCATTTGATGACTCGCTTTTGGCATGGATTGGACTTCTGGATGGGACATGGATCAGGACCTTAGTAAACATATTATACCTTGGAATCAGGGAAAATCATTGGAACTATGTTAACTTTGAGACCTTGGAAACACATTGCAATTAATTTTTAACCGTATCAAGGGCATCTTGGAATATTAAACTTTCATCTTGGATTAAAACAGTGGAACTTTTTCGAACTTTGTAACCTTGGGTTTGACCCTGGATAAAGCAAGCGGATGTTTTGTTTTGTTTTGTTCCATTAACCTAAAACTACAATGTTCATTTCTCTTTGAGAAAGTTACCTGTGGCTACTTACTACCAAGATATGACGTATCTTTATACATATAGTTTCTGTTCAGGTTAATCAGAGAGCATTATGGGCATGTTCTCCATTACTTGTTTCCGTTAACATTCCAATTTAAGTTACACGGGTAAACCTTGTTTTGATGCAAAATAACTTCTTTTTCTTATCCAAATCGTGCTATGAAAATAACTACATAGCGATAGATCAAAACAAGATCAACTCCATCCTTGCGACCAGTGACAACTATAAATTTAGCTTGCGTAGCAGGTGTCGAAAGGGGTAGGGGATAGGGAGGAAGCAAAAAGGGGATGTGGATTGGAAAGAAATAGTAGCCTGTCATGCAGGCTACTATAAATTCAGTCATAAGCACATTAAACCAACCCATACAGGTAACCTACTCATCGATGCTCATAACATGACACATCTCTCCAATTTCCCTAATTTTTCCAAATTCAGATAGAACGCCATTATGCTTCCATAGACCAACGCATCCCATGGAAACGACTTTAGGCGTCTTGTTTAATATTAACTGTCTATTGTTTTAGGCAAGCTCAAGTCCCATTTAGGAATCAAGGAAACATTCCAGGTACATGTGCTAGTTACGCCTGCCATAATTTACACCATTGCACCACCATGCAATAGATAAAAAGCAGTTAAATCATTGCTTATTCAGTTCTTAATGAAAAATAATCAATAGAGAATTAATCAGTATTGCTTGTTTTAGTAAACCGTATTCTGCTCATCCTAGCTTGTTGGATTATTATCTTGATCAAAAAAAAAAAAATCAACTGGGACCCATGGCCAGGGGTTTCGTTTCAGGCCGGACGTCAGATGCAACATCCGGTTGTTTGGCATGTAACATATGGTTAATGGTAGTTCACACATGAAAACAATTATATAGTTAATATGTATTAGTATCTTTTAAAGACCGTCCTGGTGAACCAATTTCAGTCTAAGGAACACAGGAAATTGCATTTTAGAAATTAAAGTCCAATTATAAAAATTTCACGTGGGAAGTATGCCTCCTCAACGAACCCTCAACGTTTGTGCCTGTGGCATGAACGGTGTAAGTCTGCCAGTTCTCTGCATCTGGTTCTGCCGAATGCTACGATCAACTGAATACTCTATATGGTACCAACTTAATCTTTGTCTTTCTGTGATCTTCTAGATGACATTTCTGGTTCTTTGTTGAAGAACAATGGCATGGCAAAATTACCCAAGTCTTCAAGCTCAACTCACGGTAAGAGTGGTGCAATGTCATAGGGAGGTGAGATTACAAAGTGAACTTGGTCCTTTTGTTAGTATTGTAATTATGCATGACTAAAGGATTTGAAAAGAAAAAAAAAGCATGATGAACCAGTAATTACGCAGGAGGCAAGCTTGACCAAGCAGTTAAGTTGCCAGACTTTCATTGCCATCTGATCCCAAGGCCTCAAGTTCTACTGTAATTCCCATATTTGATTGCCAGCTGCTGGATTTATTGTTCCACCACCGCCCTCAGTGACAGTTTAAATCTGTTGCTGTTCTTGTAAATGGCCTACTGGTTCAATGCTTCCGTCACTAGGATTTGTTCATGTAACCTTGCAGTTACATCTTAGTTTGAGTTTTTTTTGTAAATATGGTTCAGGGGAAATAAATAGTAATAACTGCTATTATTGTTTTATTATTATGTTTTAACAAAGCCATTTTCTGGTTACTGTCTAGCTATTATTGAACTAAAGCCTACCAATGAAAAGCCTTTTGCACGTTGTGCACTTTGTGGCCTTAGTTCTGTTCCAGTAGCAAACTATCAGCTTGGAGAACCGAAGTTTGAGAATGCACAGAAGGAGAGCTTTATCTCCTCCCCTCTCCTGTTGCTTTTCCAGCCCCATTTTTTTCTTTTGCTGGGCATTTAGTAGGAAGGCTTCATTTTGGTGGGAAAAGTTTTAGGGAAAACTTTTTTGATCGTATAGGATTAGATGGAAGGAAGTGTGGGTCGTGGTGGGTTGTGGAACAAGATTTTCATGTGAATTTTTGGGTCAACTTCACATGGTTTTCTCTTTGCCTTTTTGTCTGTCCCCTTGACTGAATTATGCTCATTTTGGTGTGGTTTGAAAGATCTCTTCCTCCTGCACAAGTTACTGACAAAGTTGTCCTTGACCCTTAAGACTGATGATCACACATGGGATACATAGGATGTGGTGATTATGGGCGGTTCAGGAGCGAATGGGTTAGACTCTTGGTCAAAGAATGGGCATTTACAGTGATCATTATTAATAGTACCCACAGATCATGAACTTCTTGGCAGTATGATGTCTCGTTTAGCTCAAGCAGAACAGCAGCTAAAAGCTGCTCAGACACAGCTACTTGAAAAGGTAAAAGAAAACATTGTAAATATTTATTATAGTACTGTAAATAATTATGATGTGGTAAAGTATAAATAATAATTATGATGTGGTAAAGTATGATTTAAGCTAAGTTAAATGTAAAACAGTGCTGGTCAGTGGCCTCCCCTGTTGCAGGCGTGCAGAGTGGTTGGGAGGTTTGCAGGTGGTGACGAGGTTTTACAGCTTGGCTGTTGAGGTCAACTTCTTCTCTTGTGCGCTTTGCCCGTTTCGACTGTGCTTGGCAACCTCACTCTCTGCCCTCCCTCCCTCTCTGTGGTAAGTATGAGGTAAGCATCATTTTTCCACTTTTGTTTTTGGTGTGACAATGCCTGGTGGTTGCTGCTTATACAGGGTTTTCGTGGTTACCCTACATGCTTGGCTCTTGTGCTTGTGGCTCAAACATCTTTCCAGGCACCTTCCCCAAGCTCATCTACTGTTGATGAGTTTAAATTGATAATAATAATCATACTAATGAGTATTACTTTTATTTATACAGTCACGTAATTATTTTAAGTATGTGGTTTTGCATTGTTTCACTGAGTATGAAACAAGACAGTGTTCTCCTTAGCAGGTAGTAACCAGTAAAAATTACTGCCTGAAACGGCACTTCTTACCACCTGCAACTGCTTGGAGGTTTACTAAAACTAAATATTGCAGTTTTAATAAATTATGCAAGTTGTGGTCCAATCCAATCAAGGAAATGAATGAATGTGTTGAAAAGAATTAAAGTATACACAGCTCTTCTATTTATGGGCTATGCATTTTGGAAACTTAAAAGAACATTGAAGACAGAGTAAAATTATTTGAATAAAACGTTTTAAATTGTTGTCTAAAGATAACAAAGTTCAATTTGCATAAAATAGGTCTTGAAATGAGGGAATGACGTTTTAGACAACTTAGCTCCTAAATTTCCCTGAGAGGGCTGGGCCATGTCCCTTACTCCAGTATCCCCTCCCCCTCCCCCCCCCCCTCCCAGGAAAGTGCGCCTCTGGGGCATTTTTAGCCTTACTAGCCATGAATGTTTCCTTACCTTCTAAGCTAAAATTTAAGGAGAACACTGTCTCTTATTTCATTTCCACTGAAATTTTGTGCTTGTGAGCACAAAGATGAGCGTGACATACATTTTTAAAGGCTAATTTCTAGAGGTCTTTGATTTACAAGTCTGGTTGAAGGGTTAACTATACTTGTGCGCTTGAGACCAAGATCAAAATAGTATTAAATGAGAAGTGTATGATCGTGGGACTTACTGAAGCTGTAATGTCTCTTTTTCCCACTTCTTACATAACATTTGTGCACCAAAATTTTGTGAGCACAGGTTATTTAATTAGGTTAATTTGAACTTACTGTAATGCAGCTCTGTGTAAAGTAGATTCCGTCCAACCTCCCAATCACCTAAAGTACATTTAATATTCAGTGGTTGTTTATGGGAGGTTGTCAAAGAATGAAACAATCGAACAAAAAATGGGTGTTTTCCAATTAGAGGTCCTGACACATATACTTTTTGAAGGAGAATTTACTGCATGCAATTTCTTAGTTACCAGTTAAGTTCCATGTTGTCACTAAGTTCTTCGTATACACTCTGAGAAGCATAGTACATATAGGAAACATAGAGATTAGACCTGTGTCAAGTGGTCACTAACAGAAGTTTAAAAACAATGGAAAATTTAAAACTCATTTTTGTCTCTCCACAAAGTGGTTGCGGTCGCTTACGAGGGATGGTCGTTTACTAGAGGTTACTTACCAAGACCTTGATTATTCCGGATATCACAAAAAATAAGTCTAGCAATGTTGTTTTCAATTGCTATACATGTTCATTTTTTTTGAAGAAAATAACAACAAACACACTGTTCCACAGAACACAGTCTGACATTTATACTCTTAGAATTCATGCATTGCACTTGCAACCTACAGATAAGTCACTAATCTACAAGCAGATAACTGACTAATCTGTAGGTTGCACTGATTTCCAAATAAACTGTTGGCTCTTATCCTATCAATGAGAAGTCAGATAGTGAGTACAATGTATAATGTAACATAATTATTAAATTATCTCGTCATTAAAAGCTGTAGATATCTGAAGTCAACACTGCATAAGGCAGATCTGGTATTCATGTAAGTGTTGATCAACATTCACCCTTAACTTTTAATTTCTGTTTGTTTGGTTTTTTTAAGGATAAGAAGATTCGAATCCTTGAGGAAAAAGCTAAATTGTTAGAAAAAGCCAGAGGTAAGATACAGTGTAAAGGTTGAGTGCATGTAAGTTATTAAAAATATCAAGCATTAATTAGTTGAGAAAGTCTTCCATTTAAGTCAAGTGTAACCTGAGATCAGGCTCAGTTTTCGTTTCGCTTTGTAATAACATCCCGGCCGGCAAGGCAAAACGAATGTAGCTGTTAGAGAGAATGTATGAGAACCACTAAAATTGGGCCTGATCTCAGGTTAAGTCAAGTGAACCAAAACTCTCAATCTCAATGGATCGTATTGAGACGGGCGTAGCTACCTAACCTCAGTGCACTCATGGGTTACTGGCAAAATGTTGAATATTGATAAAAACAAATTCTAAAATAATGATTAAACAAACAAACAAACAAAGGCAAACAAAAAAACAGAAGGTATATAAGTGATAGCTTTGCTGTCAAATAATTCTCCAAAAAAAAATTCAGCTAACGACCACTGAAGGCGGGAGAAATAAGCAGGGTCCAGGGTGCTCCCCCCTAGGGAATTGTGAAATTAAAGTCTCATTTTGAGGTGCATTTGCGACATTTATAGTATATATTTCGTGACATTTTGCTCATTGTGTGAATGAGAAAAGGCATTTCTGACCGTGATAGTAATAAAAATCTTTAATAAAGTAGCCAATGTCAAAAAATTATTTGCTGGTGGATTATCGTTGAAAGAAGGCTTACTGATATACATGTAATATGTGTTTACAAAAATACATTGAACATACAATATGTAATTCAATCATGATATAAACACAAGTTCTAATCTGCTAATCTGCATGGTACACAAATGTTTTACAGGTTATAATTCAGATACAATAACAGAACTAGAAAGAAAATGCAGGAGATTACAGACTCAAGTATTTCAGATGGAGGTACAGTGGAATACCGTCTTTTTACCTACCCCCCCCCCCCCCACCCCCACCCCCCCCCCCCCCCCGTTTTTCCCCCCCCCCCCTTTTTACAACCCATTTTTTTTCCCCCACACCAAAAAACCCCCGGACTCTTTTTTTTTTTTTAAAACCCTCTATAATGAGCCCATTTTTTTATTACAGAGGGTTCTAAACACTGAAGAAAAAAAAATGTTTAAAAATTTTAACTCAAAAAACAAAAAAAGAATCTAAAAAAAAAGGCGACAGATTCAAAAAAAAATTTTTCCAAAGGGAGGTACAGGGAAACCCCCCTTTTTACCTCCCCCCCCCCCCCCCCAACCCCAACCCCAACCCCACCCCGGTTTATACGACCACCTCGTTATTACAACCATATTCTTTCGACCGAAACGGAAAAACCACTGAGTCTTTTTGTTATTTTGAATACCTCGTTAATGCGACCATCTTGTTATTACAGTCAGGGTTTTATTGTCCAATGGTGGTCGCATCAACAGGGTTCCATTGTAGTGGGGATATGATCCTGGCTGAAATTAAGAAAATCTGTTTTTTTACCCAGCTTCAAGTCAGTTTTAGTTATGGTATGCCAACATCATCCCATATGTTTATGCTTAGACTCTGAAGATGACTACAGCACAGGTTGTCGAAACGTTAGTCACTGTCAACAACACTCAACCGAACGAACATACTCAACCTACTTATCAAGTGACTCCTGGGTTCAAACCTTTCACAGTTTTACGTTCACTTGGACGACAGAGCGAACAACTTGCAAACCACAAAAACCCGGACACTGAAGATGACTACTGTAGAGGTTGTCAACCAGCCTGCGAGGAAGATATTCTCTCGCGGCTTGCTTCGCTTGGGATAAATGGAGAGCTTGCTCACAGGCTTGTCGTCGAAACTTCAGTCAAAAAAAAATAAAAGAAAACTTCTAACATTTAATAAGTTGTTTCCACCACTACAGCATTCTCGCTAATACTCGTAGTAGAATGACGACCAGTGACGACGTGACGACAGCTATCGCGTTTTCCCGCCAAAATAGGGACTTTAAGATCCAACGAGACCCTAATGACTTTATATGACCGCCTGAGCGGGTATTGAAGAAAAACGGTACGACAGACTATTACTTTCTCTATTTCAGGACTTTTTGGCTGATTATGGTATGGTGTGGGTTGGAGATGACTCTGCTGCTGATTCTGATTATGATGTTTTAGAAGAATCACCATCCTCAGATACTAGCACTTTGAGCCATCAACAGGCAGTATGGAATCCTGGTAAGTTAAAATTTTGTATGTTACCTACACGTAATTAAAAGTATGTTTTAAGATTAAAATGCCCTGTTGTTGCAAAAGAAAATAGTGGTAGTCCTGTGAACCTTGAGATTCTCGGGCATGCGCATTTGTTAGTCTTAAAACCCACGAGGTTTTTGGTCGTTTTGCTCGCTCAGACCTTTTTTTTCTGCTAGTGTTTCGAGATGTATTTATTAAAGTTTTACACAATTCTCACCGACCAATTACCCGGAAGAACACCTCTCCACACTAAGTTTAGAGCGATTACCAGCCGCTATTCGGAAAATGAGCCCGCGCTCTGCCCTTATTCCTTTCGCGAAGGAACAAGACTGGACCCGAGAGAGCGGGTATTACCTAATAATCAGTTAATGCCCTGTCCACACTAGGTTTACGAGCGCCATTACCAGCCGCTGTTCGCGTAATGAGCTCGCGCTCCGCTCTCATTCCTTTCGGGGAGGAACAAGACTGGACCCGAGAGAGAGCGGGCATTACCTAACAACCAGTTAATGCCCTGTTCACACTTGGTTTACGGGCGCGTTTACCACCTACTGTTCAGAAAATGAGCCCGTTTGCAACCTTCTTTCCCTAGGGAAGGAACAAGACCTGGCCCCAGTTGTTCAAAACGTGGATAACGCTATCCACCAGATAAGTACTATCCAATGCATAGCGCAGTTGGTTTCCCTAACACTTATCCGTTGGATATTGATTTATCCGGCGGATAGCGCTATCCAGCTTTTGAACAACTGGGGCCTGGGGCCCGTTTCTCGAAAGTCCCGATAATTAACGGGCCCGTAAAGCTGTTGTTGTTTACATACAAGACAGAGGTTTCAATAGTTTTGCATCTAACATGACAAAACTATCAGTTAGTGAAACAAAATGCAGTATTTTGTTAGCCTGGACCCGCGCTCTTATTCTTTTTATATCGATTTGAATATTTGATTTCGGGCCCGAATAGTTATCGGGACTTTGGAGAAACGGGCCCCTGACCCGAGAAAGCTGCGGAAATAGAGCCTACACTCGTTCTCGTTTTTATAAAAAACAGAGAAATGCCGGTGTCCATACTAACTTTAACGGTTTCGCCCTGACGAAGGATTATAGCACTCGAGACTTCAGCTTTTTAACGATTTTACGCTGGTAAATGAAATTTTCCACATGATACAGTTGATAAAACCAAATTTTTGTTTTTTCAGACAACTTTTGTTTTTCGCCCCATGTATTAAAAAGGGCATCCAAGATAGTATTGGATACCGGATTCCTTGAGCTGTGTTCCGGATTCCAAAGTCCAGGATTCCGGATTCCAAAAGAGTAAATTTCTCGGATTCCGGAATCGGGATTCGCTTACCTGGGGTCGAAATTTCAACCTAGTGTAAGACTGAACCAGAACTTACACATGTAATTTCTTTACCAATTTCAGACCATATTAGAAAATATGTTTAATTTTTTGATAATACTACCTGTTTCTTATAGTTACCGTTTTTCAATATTTTATACTAGATTCTTCACTAGTTAGTAATATGCCTCGGGAATTTAAAATGGACTTTGACCTTGTCATGAAGAACATCAGAGAACTTAACATTCTGGCGGGAGAAGGCTGTAGTGATGTAACAAGAACTAAAGATGGTGCTAGACTGAAGGTATGAGTGGTACATTAGTCGTGATCCAGTTACCAACTTATTGCTTCTCTTAGGAATACGATTTCAGTTATCACTATAAGGGTTCTAGATTTTTAATCTGGAAGTTGGCGGTCGACGGCTTTTAAAACAATTTGCAGGCTCCCCCCTCGTCGTAAAAAAATAATGATAATAAGCAATCGTCTGATCGCTGGTTACCACCTTATTTTAGGACAACTTAAGGCTCGCAGGAGGTAGAAAATATATATATAATTTTTGATAGTGGGACCCCCACTTGTCTGACGTTTTATATCCGATCCGCCAATCCTCGTTGTAGACAAAGAAGTGCGATGTTTCAGGCTTTTTGAATAGATAAAAATACATTATAAACATTCAGAAACGTTGAGCCTGTCTTGAATGCAATTTTAGAAACTTTAAGATTGACCTACTTTACTTATTATTAGAAAGTTTATCACAAGGCATGCGGCTTTGGTAACCTCATATCACCGACCCGATTTTCGCCAAAATATTTTCAAGGTCTTGTGTCCGCTTGGTGCCTTTAAATTGACTCGCCTTTTATCTAGTGAAAGACGAGTCTTGGTAGTTTATTTGCGTCCGTGTTCTGACCTTTCAGCATCAAATTTGGAATCAGATGGATAATTTATTTTGCTTGTTTCGAAAAAAAGGAGAAGAAACGGTAGTCAATATTTTATCGATACAGCAAGAATCACAAAGACAGTAGAGAAATCGCGGTGGTAGGGACGCGATAAAGAAATCGTGCTAGAGAAACCCCATTAGTTCTCAATCGCGTTTGCGATACCTCTGTCGCGATTTGTCGATGGTGATCGTGAAATTACGCTAACCCCAGTACAAGCCACCGTTTTTTATCTTTCAACTGTTTATTTGCTGCTCGCAGGTTCGTGATCCTGTTCCACTGTGTTTGTATGCAAATGGTATACTGATGTTTGGTGGTCCATTCAGACCGTATTCTGATCCAGTCACACAGGTTAGCAGCTATCTAAAAATAGCGACCTTTCGATTTGACCACGGGCACGCAATCGAGTGCGAGTATGAGTATGGAATTTCCAGCCAATTGTATCTCCCATAACTCCCTTAACTCCTTTCTGTTGCTGGGTAGCACATATGTGAACGTTAGGTATAAGATTAGTGGGATAAGTAGTTATATGTGGCAAACGAATTTAGTCTAAAGAAACTCGCACACAATATCGTACTCCTTGTACTGTCTAAAGGTCCCTAATACCTATAGGAGGGCGGTAGGTTGAGAATTATTGTCAGCAAATGCAGAAACTAAATGGTACTAATATTAGCTAATTGAACAAATGTGACGTGGCTGAACTAGAAAATGTTATCTAGCAACGATTTTTCGCGCTGATTGGTGAAGAGCTATGGTCCATGAGAGTATAGACCGTAAAAACGACTTGATGATGGTGCAACTTTTTTTCCGGTTTCCCGTGCGCCATTTTCCAAGAAACTTAACCGGAATTCGAAATGGCGCTTAACAGTTGTATGTGAGAATACAGATGGACAACAATAGTTTGTGTTTTATAATCTTGTAGACCATACTAATGACGTCAAAATGTTCAAGCTTGTCTATGACTCATGGTCATGAACATTTTGACTTCATTTATATGGTCTGTAAGACCAAGGCCAAACGTCGATCTTTTCATTCGACGAACCAAACCGAGCAAGTTCAGTTCATGACAAGATTCGACATTGTCTCAGTTAAGTTTTTTTGACTCAGCTTTAGATAGACAAACTCGTTGAATCCATCCGCTTCTAACGAAGTACCTTGGAAAGTTTGGGGTGTTTTATCGTCTATATTTTGATTGTTTAAACATTTAAGGTAACAATTTCTCTTCTTGCACTAATTTATAGACGACGATTGAGACAATGTCACAAAGTTCTACTTTTAATCAGCACCTTTTGTGTTACAGCAATGCATGAAAGACATAATGGATGGTTATTTTCCCAGCGAACTACAGAGCAGATATCCTGATGGCATTCCCTTTGAGGTACATAACACAGCGGCCAAAGGGATGTAGAATTAATTAGTCAAAGAGGCGGTTACTGGGGCCCGTTTCCGATTCTCGAAAGCCTTGACACCTCAAAAAGCGATTTTATTTCTGCAGTGCTTTCAGTTATGATTGAAATGTTATTGATTTTGAAATTTCCGTTGCAGTATCGTTAGTGAATGAAACAACTGGGTTGGGTTGTTGGTTAGAACCGCACTACTATTCGTCTGGTCCCAGTTGTTCAGAAGGTGCATAGCGCTATCCATCGGCTAAATCTCTATCCACTGAATAGCGCAGGATAGTGATTTATCCGATGGAAAGCGCTATCCAGCTTTTGAACAACTGGTGCCAGATTTTGATTTTAGAATAAGGCTTCGAGCTCAATAGACCTATTCGATTAAGGGCCTGTTTACATGAAGGTGGGGGACCCCAGGTAGGTGAGGTAACATGTGGCGGATTACCCCACCTAACATGTAAACGTGATCAAATTAAACTGAGAGATTGTATGAACAGGCGGGTTACCCCACCTGAGCGGCTTACCTCACCTACTTGGGGTCCCCCACCTCCATGTAAACAGGCCCTAACTCAAAGTTGTACCCAATTCAAACCCTCTGGAAATAAAAACGTTTTGTTTCAGGAATTTCCATGTCATTTAAATGTGAATGCGACATTATAATGCAAATACAATACACAAAGAATCTTAACCCTGGGAGATTTGAATTGGGTACAACGTTGCCGAATAGGTCTATAGAAAAACCTGTTCAGGAGCCGTTACTCTGGAGGAAGAATCATAGTTTTGACAAATTTTCAGGGTCAGAAGGTGAACGCTCTAAAACGGTTTTGTATAATTATGCAGGTTCAAGACAAAAGAGACGTGGTGTATGAGGATAGAAGGACGGCTTTGTTGTTCCCTGGTGAAGGGCAGTCGTTAGTTGATGACGAGAACGGTGATAGAAACCTCAAAGTGGAAAGTCAACCACCAGGTTCGTTTGAGTGTAGTGTTACTTTGTTCCATACACAAACTTCATTTACCGTTAGGACTTTTGAAAGGTAAAGTTACAGTAAATGAAGGGAGCTAATCCAGGGGAAACGGCTTTTGGTTTGAAAAATCAGGAATTTCAAAAAATCGAGCTTAGAAAAATTTCGTATTCCATTGTATGACAAGATTGTGAACAGTGACGTCACGAATCCCTTCCTAGATTTCCTTTTTAACACGCTAATTTCATTGATAAAAACTTGTGCGTATGCAGATTGCTACATTACCCTCTTAAGCGTGAGACTAATTCTTTTTTTTGTGATTGTTCATATATTTTTTACCTGTTTGTTGCTCACTTTTCTGCTGAAATTCTTTTAATCAGGTCAGAGGCAACAGTCTGTGGAGCAATTTTTATCCCGTCTTCCGCAGTCAGTAATAAAAGAGGGTAAAATAATAGACGTGAGATCGGGAGTAGCTAATGTTATAAAGGTTTGCAATTTAATTGATTTAACTCTATTTGATAGAATCTTTTTGAAATAAACGTAAAAATGGCTGATTAGAAGTATCTATGCTTACAACTACAGTAGTATCTACTGTAGTTGTTCTTTGTTGAATTCCGTCCTCCCCCTCCGTACATTTGTTTATTTTTCAATTGAGACGAGAATTAGAATCACGTTTAAGGCAAACGTCAGATTCAAGTTGACAATTTCTCAAATCACGAAATGAGCAATATCCAACGTAATTCTTACAGATGATAGTTGCATCACACGACTTTTATGTAGATATAATGAACAGCAACCAGCAAGAAAAGTGAAAACTTGGTTGTGTGGTAGAAATCATATGTCGCATGGCGGGTTGTGTTCCATCCTACAGCATGTATGTGTAGAAGTGATCATACTGCTCCTGGTCGAAATTTTTACGTTCAACGAACACTAGTTTGGCCTTTGGAAATTGCGTTCGAGGGTCGTACATTTTAACTCAGTGAAATATCTTTTTTAACATGGAGGTGGGGGTGGGGGATTGGTGGAGGGGTTTGGAAGTGATTTATATCACCGACTGTCTCTTAATGGACACCTGTAAGACATACAATTCCGCAAACGTACACCTAGGGTTAGTCCCTGCTTTCTATAGTATGCTGCCCGCTATTTTACTCTCTGTGAGAAGGACACCTCTCTTAGAGAGAGTTGTCTTTATTAAGTTTAGCACTTGTTTCGCTGTGCCTATCTCTAGCGACTTTGTATGGTGTCTATTTTGTTCAAAATAAATCTCTGTTCTCGTTACTATAGGGTGGAGCAGGCCATTCAGACGTCAAAGTTCTTGATACACCCGCTCTCCAGGATATTAAGACCAGGTAATCCGCTATATTGTGGTCCCTCTGGGGCTTCCTTTCTTAAAAGGCCTATTAGCACTAATCCAGGCTTCAAACTCACATCTCAAAATAACCAGTGTTACCAGTTCTTACTCCAGTGACGCCATGCTAAGACAAATATCTGATGGCGTGCGGATAGACAAAGTATACCAGAGGCTCGAAGAGCGAAATATATCTCAAGACGTTTAGTTCTTATTTTTACAGTTTTTACAGTTTCTAGATTTTTAGCACGTAGAATATGTAACGAGACGTAATGCCTTCTTTTTCTAGTTCGAGGTTAAAAACTTCAATCCATAATTGTATGTGTCTTGTTATAAATTCGGTAGAATATGATTTTGTGTTAGCATGACTAGATCTCGAAGTAAGGGCTTAATAATATTTTTTTAAGTTCCTAGACAAGAATTTTTTCAAAAACTTTGGCTAAACACTGGGTTAATTAAGCGACTAGCCATCTTTAGACGATCTATGCCTTGATGGTTATTTTCTCTTTTACTTCCTAATTGGCTGAGTTGATCTACCTCACTCTAGGCCCGATCGGTCAAAAGATAGCTAACTTGTGCTTTGGATTAGGCCGAATTACAAACAATACTTTTCGCAAAAATTATAAGAAGTGAAAAAAGCGTATTATGCTGTATTTACCTGCATACCTTGAAAAGTGTAAATTGTAAAAGTCTTATTATCTACCCCTCCCCTCCCCCCCCCCCCCCCCCTTGTTTTTTTGGGTTTTTACACCCCCGTTTTGGGGCTTTTTTGCAAATTTCTTTTGCCCCCCTTTAAAACAAGTGAAAAAAAAATTTTTGAGGCCTCCCTAAGTGAAATTTTATTTGAAGTTGGAAGCCCACCCCATATAAACAACACCTAATACTTTTCTCGTGGTTCACCGATCATGAGAAAAAAAGAAAGAAACTTGAATTTGTGTGTTGAGCAAAATAACAATAATACTTTACCTTAAAAATATAAAAAAAAAAAAAAATAGATAAAGGTAGAATTTCCTTGATCACCTGAAAAATTATAAATTTTAAAGTCTTTATTTCATCCCCCCCCCCCCCCCCCCCCCCTCCTTGCTTTTTAGGGATTTTACTACACTGATTTGGGGACTTTTTGCAGACTACTTGTGACGCACTTTAAAATCAGTGAAATAACAAGTTATGAGTGCCTCCTAAAGTGAATGTTAATTTGAGATGGACGACCACACCAAGGACTACTGGCCCTGCTCTTTATGAACACTAGAACATTGTGTGGGCTCGTTAACATCCCACGGGGTTTATACTTTCTGCAAAGATCGTGAGACGGAGTCTACGGTTTATGGTCTTATCTGACGAGACTAGATTCCAGGGCTGCCGCGTAGTGCCTTGGAGCGGGGATGTACAAGCATCACCTCAGACTACTCAGTGCGCGGATCCAAACCTTGAGATAAGGCGAGGGAGGGGGGGGGCGTGGGGGGCAGCGGTCATCCAGACCCTTAGATAAGGGGGGGGGGGCTCCCACAATTTTTTGTTATTGGCCCTTTAGTCTAAACATAATTTGGGGGGGGGACACCGGGCCCCCCAGGCCCCTCCGTCTGCCACTGCTACTTTCATGGGAAACAAAAAAAAAACTAAAAAGAAAATCGACCAAAAAGAACTTCGTGGCTGTTCTATTGCCCACCTACTTATTGCATATATGAGACATCTTGACATCAGTGACAGCTCTGCTAGAAAGTCTAACCGTTCGTAGATATTGTTACAAATGCAGCACTTTTTTTCTCCTCTGGCCGGGGTTTGAACCTCTGGCTTAGCTGACCGGTGCTTACCCAACTGAACTAACCAAAATCACAGCCTAAAACGGTCGGTAAGTCAGTTAACCAAACGGCCAGTTAAGATTTAAAACTTTGCTTTATCGCTGACCATCCCTTTGACTAACTGCTAAGTTCTTTTATTTATGAGAGAGACGTCTCAGAGTTTTAAGAGAACTCTTAATCACTTTGTACAATTACATTACAGGAGTGCTTCTGGGCCAAGACCACAATCGGGTTCACCTCAAGTTACAACCTTAAGAATCAAGTCAGAATCAGGAGAAATGGTAAGTTAGCCAACATGACAGACTCAGGAAGTTGTGCGACGGGGGGAAAGTAGGCGAGACCAGTGAGAATGTTTCAACTAAAGCTAAAACTGGCGGTCCCCTAAGTAAATTACAGGGTTCGCACAGTTTGGAAAGTCCTTGAATTTGAGGGGGAGTTCTTGAAAAGTCCTTGAATTCTATTTTTCCTTGAAAAGTCCTTAAATTTCTGTGCAAGCCCTTGAACTTTCTTCACCTTTCAAACGTAGTGGCCTTGAAAGTGTTTTTTAATGCCTCTTGGTTGTCCAAAACAGAAAGCAAATCATAGCTCAGAGAAGTTAAAGGTGATCTACTTGAAGCGTTTTTTTTGTTTCATGCAAGAATTAGCTTTCAATTAACGAATTTGGAGGAGCAAACAGTTCGAGCCTTAAAGTCCTGTTAGAATGGACTGGAAATTTGCATTTTTGTTCAATCTGTGAAATTAAATTCCTGGTAGGTGGTCTTTGAAAAGTCCTTTAAAAATGGTTGCAATTTTTTGTATGAACCCTATACAAAATGCATAGGGGATATTTAAGTGTCATTGTCACTAAGGACCAGGCAGGGTCCGCGGATCGAGGTCGGCCGATTGCCTCCAAATTTTCAGCATTTTTTCTCTATCAGATAAGATTACGATCGGTGGTATTTTTAGTAAAATAAAATTAATTTCTTAGAATTTTGACCACCCCCCTAGTTTTTGGTGCTATTTTGCCCACGTGAGACGGAAAATTTGGGTAAACTTCCACGACACATTTTACTTACTTGGCATTAGCCTTATTCATTTATACGAACTGTACATACTTTCCAGCCTATAACCAGCTCATGTCTTCAATATAAACGAATTTTGTTAAAAATAACTTACTTTGGAGCGGTTCCAAATATCATCACTTCGTGGCTATCGCAAGTAAGAAGAATTTTGGCAATTTTCCAATCTGGTTTTCTCTAAAGTGCGGCAGTTTATATCCAGATCAAAACTATTTTTTTTTAGCCTGTCATAAAGTCTTTACAAATACGCAAACTCTTATTTGGCAAGTTAAAATACCTTCGCGTGAGCTTTCTCACAACTTTAACCTAATTTCCTAATTTGCATAATTGTCGTTTTTCCCGGAAATATTTCACGCTTGATTAATTTGCGACATATTCCCGGTGTTTGTGACTAAGAGCAACACATTACTTTTTCAGATAGGTGGCCTGCATATTATACTATACTTCACTGTCAAACTCTTTGAAATATTGAGCGGTTCTGTTATTTGGTAGAAGTACACTTCAGGGAAAGATAATTTTCCATCCCTTATCTGATTATCTGCAGACAGCTGTCCTGTTCAGCTGATTTTGCTGTTTTCAATATGGATGTTAGTTTGACTTGTTCGTTCAGTTCTCCTGATTCTGCCTGTAGTTTGGAGGGCACGGGGTCGCAGGTTGTACCCCTGTTGGCGTGCAAGCTAGACATCACTGCACATCTACTAAGCCTGGGAGTCAGCTCAGGGCAACTGCGAACCGGAGACGAAAACGTTAATGAGGTTGACCTGATCCTGAATAGAGCTGGATACTTTGTTACAACCGATAACGAGAAAATGTCAATGACAATATGCCCGAGACACAGAAAAAAACTAACTACAGACTGGGCTGGCAGAAAGAGCAACACATGCTCGTATCCAAGTCATCGAGGACCGCGGAAAACTATAAAGAAACCGCGCCGCGTAAACGCCACCTTGTCGGAAGAAATTTATCAATTTCACCAAGCCACAGTTCCCATTGGCTCGGGTAAGTACAAATCGGGTGCAGCCAGACCGCAGCCTTAATACTTAGAGTTGTAGTATGGACTTCACTGGTAAATACAAACGAAACCTTTATTTCGAAGGTACTTATTTTACTTTGTGCTTATGGATATGGTTAGTACATAAATTTTATTTCTTTATCGGAATATGCTAAGGGAACGAAGCAAAACGTAATCCGATGCCATTGCTTTTTGTATTTGAATGAGCTTTTCTCTTTTAGTCGACTCGTTTAAATATACAAAGGCATTGCCTAATTCTGTTGCATTGTCTGATATCCTTCTGACTTTTTCGGAAAAGGGGAGGGAGAGGGGACGTTGGGGTAGTGTTTCGAGGTGGATTGAAGTGGTAATTTGCTAATCAAGCACCCCGCCTGCAAGATGACGCCAAATGGGAGAGGACGGGGGAAGAGGAGAACTAGGAGGGGGAGTAGAGGGAATGGGAAGTTGGGTGGGGCTGCAAGGGACGCCCAAACACTCCTTATTTCACTCACCTTCCTTTCTTTAGCTGTTAAGAAAGCAAATTACCGCACTTTAATTTGGTCTTACGTGAGTGACACAAACTACAGTCAATGGACATAAGTATTCGTCACTATCAAAAATAACGCGCGAAATTCTTACCCGCGTTGTGCACACTACGCGGGGGAAAACTAGATGCGGAGCGCGACATCGGTCAATAAAGGCGGGAAAATTATGTAAAAATAAAAACAAACAAACATCCGACTAAGAGCAAGAAAAAAATTTCAAACTTCCCAAAAGGAAACGAACAAAAGCTGTTTGTGTTTTGACACATCGTTCAGTCAGTTATTCAACAGTAACTGCAACGGGTGGTCGCAAAAAAAGATCACAGTTATTTTGTTTTGCTTCTGATAAACAATATTCAGCACTCGTGAGTCGACAAAGTGCTTAACTGTCTGCAGAGACAAAAGAATTAATTGTTACTTTGTCAGAATCCGTGAAAAACAAAGCTGAACTGTCAAGACTGTTGAGCATTCTAAGAACGACTATCACAGGTGGAACAAAAGATAAATTTGATGATCTGGGGATGTTTTTGATATGATGGTGTTGGAAGTGTGACTTCAGTTGAAGGCAACAGCAACTCTGCCAAGTACATTGACATCCTAGAAAATAATGTATGGCCAGTAGTTGTTTAGTACTTAGAAGACAAAGACTACATGTTCATGGATGGCAATACGCCAGTTCACAGCGGAGCACACAATGTAAATAATTATAAAGATAAAGCAAAGTACCCTTAATGGAATGGCCAGCACAGTCTCCAGATTTAAATATAATAGAAAACATTTGGCTTTACATCAAGAGAGAGTTACAAAAGTCCACTGAAAATATCGCTACCAAGAATGACCTTCTTCGTGAAACTGAGAGTGTGTAGCGGAAGATCCAATTAGATTGAATATGAAAGCTTTACCAGCCCATTCCTGATCGCCTAGACAATGTTATCAAAATGACGGGTCATCTTACCAAATACTAAGGTGATTTTAAACTTAAATTTACCGTAAACGAAGTTAAAACAGCGCGCGTAAACGCCGCCATATTGAAAGTGACGAATATATATGTCCCTTGACTGTATATTGATGATGGGTATGATAACGATAACCATAAAGACGATGGTGACGGTATAAAGGGTCAATCACGTTGATGGTGATCGTGTTGGTTATTGTTGTCAGTATTGTTAATCTATTTATCATTATCATTTTTTATGACAGCTGTGTGTTCCAGCTGCCGTGGAGCACACTACAAATCCCGTAAGGCTCACGGTTTCATGTCTGGAGAGCAGGTAAGCTAGTACACATTGGCCATTCACAGCTTAGTGTAACTAAGCATAGTGTAACTGACCATATAATCAGAGGATGTTTTGATACCGCCAACAGGTGCACTGATATCTATAACAACTGACAACATGAATAACACGTACCTTTGTTGGTTTTCCTGTCTTTTCTTCAATGGGTAGCCATTTGGAATCGTTAAGGTGTGGTCGATTTCCAAGAGGCTTGGGACCTAGTTATAATGATAGCCATGTCTAGAGTTTTCAGATCGCGCGTCGAGAACAATTACTCGACTACATCTGAATGTTTTCTGAATGACAAATTGGTCTTGACCAGTGCTTGAAGAGACCAGCAACAACAAAGATGCGAGGGCACCCTTTGGCAGCGGCTAGGAAACACATATAGAGTTTCCACAGTTACATGTATTGGAGATCTTTGTGGAATTGTTGACGATCTTGTCCATAATTTGCTAATCTATTTTATTACGCTTCAGGATCCTTACTCAGACACCTTGGTGATTGGAGACGAGATCGAGGAGTCTGATTCTGCCACTGTCTCTGTCATTACTGTTTGTGAGGAGAGCACATTGCCAGCCACGGTGTGTGCAGCGGTCTCAAGCACTGGTGAGGGGTTAGAAACAGTCTCTTTGCAGTCCCATTCGTCCCAAGCCTCGATACCAGACGAAGAGATTAGTTTATGGGTTGACGAGATGGAGGAACAAAACAGCAAACGGCAGAAATTAAACGAAGCTGTCCACAGCATCTCAGGTGGCCGCTACAGCCCCGTAATGTCCAGCCTGAACACGACCTGGGACGACGTCTCCGACACCCAGCAGCGATATTACATCCGCAAAGCTAAGGAGACTATAGTGACTTCATTGTCTGTCATCACTCCCGGTCAAGAGGAACTGGTTTGGAAGGCGTTACAAACGGAGGTACTTTTGGATCCAAACAGAGACAACCAAGGAAAGCGCAAGCGTTTTGATCCCAACTCTGGTCTTGTCGACATTTTAGTCAATGCCTATGAGCAAGCAGGTCATTGGCAAACAAAGCGACAGATCCTTTCCCTCTTTGCAGACGACTTTTCAAGAGCTGAGCTTCAAGAGATGATCCCTGGGCTTTCCAAATGGCGCATCGACCAAGCTCGCCAACATGCAACAGAAGCAGGGAAAGGCCAGCCTCTCCCTGAAATTCCTAGTTTCCGTACAAGAATTGAGCATGAAAAGGTGGATCATTTCATTGAATATATCTCCAGACCAGAATTTGTCCAAGACGTGGCGTTCGGGACAAAGACTCTCAAGCTTGACTCGGGGGAGAAAATTGTCATACCAGCAGTCATTAGGACCGTCATTCCTTCACGCATCATCAGACAATATTTAGACTATTGTAAAGAACAAGAGTTCGAGCCGGCGAGCCAGCGTTCTCTCTACCGAATGATTGAAGTGTGTTCGGCCTCTATGCAGAAATCCCTTCAGGGACTTGACAACACCACTGCAGAGGGTACAGAGGCTTTTGATCAACTCTTTTCTATGTTGGAGGCCTTAGCAGATCAGGGCATCAACGTTACTGCCACTCAGAAATTTCTAAAGGATGCAAAAAGGTACTTAAAGAATGATTTCAAGACACACATCGGACGAGGAGAACATTGCAGTGATCACTGCACGGTCCACGCACTAAGTGACAGTAGTGCATGGGAGTTCAGGGGCGAATGTGATCATGAACATTGCTACGAATGTGAGCGCTGTGAGAGTCTAGAAGGAGTACTGAAACAGGTGGCAGAGATGCAAGACAAAGCGGACATGACGGAAGAGGAGAGGGTTAGGTGGAGGTTTGAGTACACTGAGAGTGTGCGCAACATACAAGCGTGGAAGGCTCACTTGCTACGGTCAAGTAACCAGGACGAAGCCAAGCAGGATATTCTCGAGAAGCTAGACGACAACTCGTGTCTTGTCGTAATGGACTGGGCAATGAAGTTTCTGCCTGTGCAATACAGAGAACACATGAGTGATTTTTTTGGCAAGAGAGGAAGAAGCTGGCATATCAGTGCAGTAATCACTAGAGCAACAGTGGAGAGCAAGCATGAAGTCGAGTGTTTTGTACACATTTTCAACAACTGCACCCAAAATAGCTTTGCAGTTCTTTCAATAATAGAGGACTTGCTGCAAAAAGTCAAACTGGAGTATCCAGGGGTGACAACAGCCTACCTCCGATCGGATAACGCTGGATGTTACCACAATGGGCCTCTGTTGTTAAGTCTTAGAGAAGTAGGGGTGAGAACCGGTGTCAGGCCAGTGCGATATGATTTCTCAGAACCACAGGCTGGCAAGGACATTTGTGATAGGAAGACTGCTGCTATGAAGGCACACATAAAGCGCTGGGTCAACGAAAAGCACGACGTCGTCACTGCTGAAGATATGAAAGCAGCACTAGAATCCCATGGAGGTATCAAAGGGTGCAGAGCAGCGGTCGTTGAGGTGGACACGACCAGGGAAAGAAACAAAGATAGCAAGATACCAGGCATTAGTGTGTTGAACAATTTCCAGTTTGAGGAGTGTGGCATCCGTGTGTGGAAAGCGTACAACATCGGCCCTGGACGCCTCATCCCTTATAGCGGTCTTGGAGTTACACCACAAGGAGATACTGGAGTAAGGGTGGTAAAGCCATTTGGTCAAGCTACACACAGGGGAAGCGTGGGTGAGAGCGTCAGGCACCAGTCCGAGATCTACTCTTGCCAAGAGACTGGATGCGTCCTCACGTTGAAGACCCAAGCAGAGGCAGACAACCATATGGACACGGGCAAGCACCGTCTTGAGGTGGACTGTGAGTCCATGTATGACCGCGTTAGGAGGAAATGGGCGGGAATTGTGACAGGGGTGACGTTCGCTCCGGATGTGCCAACAACCTCATCGCAAGGTGAGAATAGTGGCAGCGCTTTCAGAGAACATGACCCTAGACCATTGGGGTGGGCTCTGAAGGTAACAAAACGACCCACTAGAATGACTGATAACGTCAAGACCTTCTTGATGAAGAAATTCGAAGAGGGTACAAGAACTGGAAACAAGGCCGATCCTGTACGGGTAGCGAGGGAGATGAAGACCCTCAGAAATGAGGACGGAGAGCCCACGTTTAAGCCTGAAGAGTGGAGGACTGCGCAGCAGATCAGTAGCCTGTTTTCACGTCAGACAGCGGCGCTGCGTCATAGGGGTATTGATGCGGAGGAAATCTCGGAGGAAGACATCGAGGCTGCCGAGTCGGAAATAGCGTTTGACACCCTTAGAAGTTTGGTGATGGATGATATGGGCAAACCAAGCCATCCAATCATCGTGGGCATTAGCAATATCTGCGAACTTGTAAAAAACAAGAAGCTTGACTCACTCAAACTGGCAGCTCTGAAAGAAATCTGCAATCAGCTACACCTGACGACAAGCGGACCACTGTCAAGAAAAAAAACTTTCTTTGAGGCCATTCAAAAATTCTCTGAGAGTTGCACGTGTTTTCAAAAATAACGTTACATGGTTTTAGTAGGGAGGATCTCTATGCTTCTACCCCAATCTTCTCCATTGGGGCCTTTTAGATAGGTACAGGGAGACCCTTCGATAACAGGGTTTATAAATACTTGTAAATTAAAAAATCGTGAGCAATATAAGACTGCAAACTGAATGAATGCTATGGTAAACACAGTAAAACAAAAAACTGCAAGGATTTTTACATACTGCTAAACACCAGCTGTCCGTCGCTATGCTTGAATGCTATCATGGATGAAACCAATTCGGTTTTCTTCCTAGACAAAAGAGCAGTGCCGGAAGATTTCAGCAGCAATGCACACGGATTGATCAACTTTAGTAACGTTGTGTCAAATCTGTTACGTTATAATGCATTAAGTTTCGACTCACTAATTTGCGCATCTGTTCGAATTGCATTTCCTCTGCCACGAATTGACTGTCATTTCGGCAGCCTGTTTGCCTTCCATCACACGTGGAGAAAACATTAACTCTGTTAGTCTCCAAAACTATTCACTACTTTACAAAACACAATCTTGAGCCTGTCTGGCATATTAATTTGCATGTCCATGTTTAGTGAAATGACAGAATTGTTATGTTCGCCCCAAATTTGTGGACTGTCAACGTCTGCAAGATCGAAACAACAATTAGTTTCAAAAACAAGAACCTCATAAAAATTAATAATTAATTACGTGCAGGGTTATCATCGCTTGTATATAATATCAACAGACAGGTGAAGTTTTCCCGGGGAAATTCGACAACATGCAAATTAGTTAAATTTGAAGAAAGCTTACGGGAGGGGATTTTGACCTACCAAATGACAAAATAGGCCGATGAACTATGGCCACTTACCTGAAAAAGTAATGTTTTTCTCTTAGTGATAGTAAAGAAGCCAATAAACGCCTGCAACAAGTCGCAAATCAAGCGTGAAATTTTTCCCGGAAAAACTACAACTATGCAAAGTAGGAAATTAGGTTAAAGTTGTGAGAAAGCTCACGCGACGAGATTTTAACTTGCCAAATAAGAGTTTGCGTATTTGTAAAGACTTTATGACAGACTAATAAAAAATAGTTTTGATCTGGATATAAACTGCCGCACTTTAGAGAAAACCAGATTGGAAAATTGCCAAAATTCTTCTTACTTGCGATAGCCACGAAGTGATGATATTTGGAACCGCTCCAAAGTAAGTTATTTTTAAAAAAATTCGTTTATATTGGAGACATGAGCTGGTTATAGGCTGGAAAGTATGTACAGTTCGTATAAATGAATAAGGCTAATGCCAAGTAAGTAAAATGTGTCGTGGAAGTTTACCCAAATTTTCCGTCTCACGTGGGCAAAATAGCACCAAAAACTAGGGGGGTGGTCAAAATTCTAAGAAATTAATTTTATTTTACTAAAAATACCACCGATCGTAATCTTATCTGATAGAGAAAAAATGCTGAAAATTTGGAGGTAATCGGCCGACCTCGATCCGCGGACCCTGCCTGGTCCTTAGTGACAGTGACACTTAAGGTCTCTTTTTCCCAGATGCGTTCAAACACGTAAGTATTGCAAGGCTCATCGTGGAAAAGGACAAATGATTTGTTGAAGACAAGACAGGGAATCTCCCTCAGCTTGCACCATCGACGGTTGACTCAGATATCTAAGATAGGAAGTTCAAAATTTAAGAGGTTTCTTACAACTTTATTCTCTTTTTGTGTGTTTGTTTAGACGTACATCTTGAAAATGAAGTTTACAGACTGTATTTCTGATGTAAGGAGTCACATAGATGCCGCAAGGTTTGTGCTCACTATCCAATTGTACCTCCTCAGTTGGTCCAGCTTGGTCCGAGCGCTGAATGACGAGTTTTGGAAGTTCTGGAGAGTTTCAACTAGTATTTTTTTACCATCTTGCTTCATGAAAGGTTGATGTTTGTGTGATTGCTCTTTTAAGTACGGTGGTTAGTTGCTCCCGGCTCTACCCCCCGACTCGGTGAGGTTGGTTTTCTTTCGTCCTCTTCTTCCTAACTGATCCAACAGCAAGGTTGGACCAACCCGGAAGTAATGGCTCTTTACGGGTCATCGGGGAGATTCATGGCAAACGGCAGATTTGATCACTTGATCAATCTCCCGTCATTTTTTTTTAAACGCGAAGAGGTTGGTGTCTTTTTGTCGGATACATTTGGGATCGTATGCCTCAATATTTGTAATTTTTTTTTGTTTCATATTCCACACGAAAGAATTGATGAAAATGAGTTAAACGCAATTTTAGAATAATGAAAGCCGACTATTTGTGGAGACTGTTAAGGTAAATGCTCACCTTCACAGCACAAGACGCGGTGATTACAGACAGAAAATGGGAAGCTTGCCGTTTGCTATAAACGTGGTGCGTAACCTCTGTAATGAGATTCTCAAGCAAGCCTCTCCTCTGCGATATATTTTGTGATAGTTCTTTGACGACGTTAAGCCGTCTTCACTTTTGTATAATGTTGAGATTGCTGATTTATATTATTCTGTTTTAAAATTTAGGCCTGAGAATGCCCCTCCATACGACATCAAGACGTCATTTCCCAACAAAGTCTACGATGATCCAGCTGCATCTCTGCAGGAATGCGGCTTAGTACCTAATGCAACGCTGCACTTACTTGCCAAGAAAGTGTGACCAGCCTTGATCATGATGTCACGACTTCAAATGGAATGCGGCTTAGTACCTCATGCAACGCTACATTTACTTGCCAAGAAAGTGTGACCAGTCTTGATCATGACGTCATGACTTCAGATAGAATGCGGCTTAGTACCTAATGCAACGCTTCACTTACTCGTCAGGAAAGTGTGACCAGTCTTCATGACGTTATGACTCCAGATGGACTGCGGCTTAGTACCTAACGCAACGTTACACTTACACGCCGAGAAAGTGTGACCAGTCTTGAACATAACGTCATGACTTCAGATGGAATGCGGCTTAGTACCTAATGCAACGTTTTACTTACACGCCAAGAAAGTGTGACCAGTCTTGAACATGACGTCATGACTTCAGAGGGAAATGCGGCTTAGTATCGTATGCAACACTTCACTTACTCGCCAACAAAGTGTGACCAGTCTTGATGTTATCGTGACTCCACATGGAGTATTGAATCAAGTCAGACGGTGCCCTTCCTCAGTACACTCTTCTTTTGAGGACCTGTTATAGCTCGGTTTAATTTTGTTCCATTCGTTCATATTAATGGCATCGCCTCTGTCATGTGTTAGTTTACCAAAACAAGAAACGGTGGCCATGTTAGTGAACCCCCCAAAAAAGCACTGCTTATTTTAAAATAGGGTGAATTTTTTATTGAGACAAAAGCAATAAATAAATATAAGCAAACAAAATAAAGGTTAGAGTTCAGATTTGGTTTCTTCAGTATTTGTATCATCTGGCCTAATTTGTATAATAATTTTCCCGATATTTTCATTCGACTCCATTCTTTTGTGAGCTAGCTGGATTTGATCCATGGTGAAAACTGAATCCACAATAGTCTTTAGTCTTCCATTTTCAAACTGTGGAACAATTCTTTCTGAAAACTCTTGTACCAGTTCTCTTTTGTACTGCAAAAGAATGGGGGAAAATAATGATAAGCCGTTTTTTTGTGTAAGGCATCATAAAAGTACCTGCAGGGAGTCTTCTTGCTGCACTAATACCACAATGCTGTTTTCAGATAGAGGAAGGGGGGAGGGGGTGTTTAGGGGGGTCCAAACCACCCACCTCCCATGCCTAGCATTTCTGCCTCCCACCCCTTCATTCAAGGTGTTCCCTCTTTAGCCCTTTTTCTATCGCAAAATAATCAGGAGTTTTGTATATTTTCCCCCTTTTCCTTCCACTTCCCGCCTCCCCCACATTCCCACCCTGTTGCCCTCTTCCACTTTTTCATTGATGCTACAGTAACTGTAGCAGGAAATTAATACCCAATGATTAGTGAACCAGCCATTACCATTTTTGTTTTGTTTTGACATAGCAAAATACCATAACGGCACAACTGGTTTGGACAGGCTACTTCGTAGCCCTTATTTGACTACAACTACCAGAATTCATTTTGTATTGGTTTTTATATTAATTTTGTCAATCCCACTGAGTTTTAAAATACAATAGGAATAATTTGCACAAGAAAACGATTGACTTACAGTCAAGTGTACTCCCCAAGATTCCATTAATGAATTTATTATTCAGAAGTTGAATCCGTTGGTAGTTGTAGATTTCAGATTCATCTCTGCATTCTTGCACGTGCAATTTGAGCCGTGAATTTACACGCGAGGTAGTTAATTAAATATCTACCAGCTCAGTTTCCCAGAATTTGATGAAAATGTCTTCGAAGCAATTTAACAGTCAAAGATGTTCAATCTGAACAGATACAGAGAAGTTCTTGTAAAATACTCACTGCTCATTATGCATGCAGGAATGCCGATTTGAATTTGACACAAGTTATGGGAACAACTACCGGATTCATTTTTTAAATAATCAATTCATTAATGTAATCTTGTGGGGTACGCTTGACCTACACTGACTGTAGGGATTCTGTACTGTAAACCCTGTTAATAAGGACACTGAGGAGGCCACAGAAAGTGTCCATATTAATGGGGTGTCTGTAGAAAGCAGGTTGAATTTAGAGAAAATGTAAGGGCTTTCTTTCCTTAGAGACAAAGAAAGCTCTCCATAATGACAAGGTGTCCATATTAAGCTGGTGTCCATGAAGGAGGGTTTTTTCCATACATATTGACTCTTGTTTAAAACCTCTCTACTATGGCCACTTCTTCACAATGGCCACTTTCTTCTGTCCCCAAGGTCAGGGGCTTCCAACGTCAATTTTCGGAAAATATCTGTTCGGAAGACGATTTGAGGTCTAGAATTTTCGGAACATTTTTTTGTAAATTTCTTGCTTGCCTGCCTCTCCTAGAATTTTCGAACATCTAAAAAATGGTATAATTGCCCATTTTTAAGGGATTTTTACCCTAAAAAAGGTCACCTAGAAATTTTGGGAGCCTTTTCTCTGGCTGAAATTTCCGAAAAGGTAAGTCTTGATCCCTACAATTTTTGGAACACTAGACTTTCAGCTAGGAAATCCGAACAGATGGAAAATTTTTAGGGGATAAAAATATGCCTTTATAGATCTACCGTTTAAATACTAAAACACGTTTTACAATGCTATGTTTAAGTGCTTTTGAACTATATTCTCATTGGGTGCCCCTGCAAGGTGGCTATCATCCTCGGAGACCCAGGGGCAGTTAGTCGGGTCGATAAAATGTTCGTGGTGAAAGTTTACTGTAAGATCGAGACGAGCGTCTCGATCTTACAGTAAACTTTCACCACGAACATTTTATCGACCCGACTAACTGCCCCTGGGTCTCCAAGGATGGGTAGCTCGTCTTGATCTTACAGTAAACTTTCACCACGAACATTTTATCGACCCGACTAACTGCCCCTGGGTCTCCAAGGATGGGTGGCTATCCTAAAGAGGTTCAACTTTAAAGTGACTAAATTTCTATCAACATTTGGTATTGACTATATTCTCTAGGACTTTGTTTTCTTATTATTGAATGTGGTTCCCTAGATGAGGAGTCACAGCAAGGATATTCACTTCGAGAAAAGGAATCCTACAGGGACTCCTCCAGTGGACTCACATTGCTGCCACCCAAAAGACCATACAAGATCCAACGACCATCAACAGCAAGACTCTTTATATTCTGTTCCCAAAATGAGCTTCCCACACAATCAAGAATCACATTTGCTCCTTGACCTGGAAGAAAATAAAATAATAATAGATCTTAATTTAAGCATGCAAACTCCGGTTAAGCCATTTTTTTTCTTGGTTTTCTTTTTTTTCTTTATTTTTTTCTTATTTTTATATTCTTATTTTTGGGGTTGATTATAATGCCATGGGGGTGAGATGTTAGAAGATGTATTTTTAGTCCCCTAAGACTTTGTAAGGAACCTTTAGTTTGATCATCAACGATCAGATCAAGATAGAGTTTCAAAGCAAGTTTTTTTAATGTTTGTGTGCTTGTCACTTCTCTACACCTCTCTGTATCCATTAGCAACAGATCCTTTTGAGCATTTGGGGAAAGAACAGGCTTACAATTTCACTCAAGCAAACAACAAATTAAGGTTTCAACTCATTTTAACAAAAACTTCTAGACCTGTATAAAGCAGGCTTGTAAATTTTAATCTACAGTCAAACGCTGTTAATACAGACACTGAGGGGACCATAGAATTAGAAAGTGTCCTTATATTAACACGGCATCAGTGTTAAGTGGGCTGAATTTAGAGAAAATATAAGGGCTAGGTACAAGGAAAACTGCCCATAGTAACAAGGTGTCCATATTAAGCAGGTGTCTGTAAAGTAGGGTTCAACTGTAAAACATTAGGAAATATAGGTGATGTGTACACAGCACATAATTCTTAGCAAGTTTAGGAATCATTTTTAGCCAGAACATCAAGTACCATTTGTAACATTTTCCACCCAACTTGAGAAATTTCCCGTTTTGTAGTTAAAGCCTCCTTCAGCTCCTAGTGACTCAGCCATTTTAATCTTTTCCTCTGATCCCGCAGTAACATAAGGCCTTGCTCCAGCTAACTTTGACAGTTGTACTAGAGCAGTACCAACGCCACTGCCGCCGGCATGGATTAATACTACTTCACCACTTTTAACTTTGCCAAGAAAATGCAATAGTTGATATGCTGTTAACCAAACTTCAGGGATGGCTGCAGCATCCGAGAGTTTGTAAGAGTCTGGGACAGGCATTACAAGTGCTTCATCAACAGCCACATACTCAGCATAACCTCCGCCTTTAAAAACAATTTATAGGAAATTTAGAAGATAGTAAAAAACATGTTCCTTCAATTTACAGCACTACTATAAAAGTTGTAGCCAGACTTTTGGCATAACTGGAGTGATTGTTGAAGGTGCAAGGCCCTTAGAAGGGTCTGGGGACAAGCCCTACCCCAGAAAATTTTAAAATCCAAAATCTCTGAAATAATATTTTCAGTTTTCTTTCTTTTCAGAAAAATCAATCTAGTTCAACTGAAGACTGAATGTATTTTATTCAATAAAGAATCAAAATTTACAGCATGTAGACTAGGCTATAATATTTAGCCTTGTCTTGCCTCTAGCTATTTAAACTACAGCCCTGACTAACATTGTACATTGTAAACTTAAATGAATGTCTTACATGAGTACCACTGTTTTTAGGGCCTGACTTACGGGTCATTTTAACGTTCGCCTCAATCAATCAAACAATCAATCAACTTTATTTAAACATGGTAAATGGCTCAGCAAGCTGGTTTTCAGACATGCTGTGTGATAATTACAATTTATAAAAATTAAGACTAGTGATTAACTAACAATACAATATAACAGCAAGAGCCTAGTGGCTCAAAATGAGGCTGAGTCGGGCCCAAAACATAGTCATATATTTTATTTTATGCCTGCGGACATGAACTCTATTGTTTGTTCTTCACTCCACCCCCCTAGCCTGAATCCTGAATTTCAGACAATTACTTCGAGTCGTTTTTACTCCTAAAAGGGTGCCTACTCGCGGCCAAAACATTGGCATATATTTTATTTTATGCCCGCGGACATGAACTCTATTTGTTTTTTTTCCCTCCCCCCCCCTGTGCTGAATCCTCAATTTCAGACAATTTCTTCGAGTCGTTTTTACCCCGTCAGTAATTGTCTGAAATTCAGGCTATCCCCCCTCCCCCCCCCCCCTCCCCCCAATCCTCCGATATAAAACACCACTTGACCCAGTGCCCAAATTATGATACCGGTACATTATTGGCTTAGGACATTTTATAAGGCAAAGAACAAACCATCAAAATTCACTTTTATAATTATTGTAATGACAAAAATAATCTCCATAAGTGAAGAAATTTATGCAATTTGCCACAGAAATTCTGCTGTCAATTAAAAAAGTAAAATTTTTGAAGAAATTAAATGGGCTTAATTCCAAACTAAGGCATAGAAAAGCCTGAAAGTCCATTGTATCTGGGAGATTTGGTGACTCTTACTTCAAACACAGATATCCTTCAAGTGGGTAGAAACAACAAAATTTTTGTACTCACCACCTAACAAGGCCATAACATGGTCACCTTTCCTATGAAAAAAAAAGAAGAAGAAAAGAAAAGAAAACCGTGATCATAACAATCTTTTGTACTGAATGAAAAAAAAAATCATTTTAAAAATTTTTATAGTAGTGTATCTGATAAATCCTTAACTTGGACCGGTCAAGTAGATACTAGCAGTGAGTTAAGGAAATAAAGCCAGGTTTAATTTTGTTGATGCAGTCAGACCCATCAGGATAACCCAGACGTCCTCATGGACTCAGTACAGGCTGAGTAGTCCCTTGCCTTCCCACAGTTATTCTTCATCAGTGTCATTCTGTTTTCTATCCCTGTCACATCAAGAACTAGTCCAGTTCTGGTACCTCTCTGTCTGTCACACAACATTGTGTGACAGAGAGAGAAGGAAAAAGAAGAAAAAGAGCAGAAATAATTTATTCAACAAACAAAACCAAAACAAAAATGTGAACATAGCTTTTCATGGCGCCCAGGTTAAAACAACTTATAACAAAACAAACAATGGGCAAATTATGGGATAATTTGGGACATAACCTTCTCGGTATTTGCCCAATATGTTCAATAATCTTAAGACAGTTCCTTTCTTGACTCCCTTTTCTGTGCCTCCTCAGCGAGACCTGGGGACGTTGCATCTATTTATCTGCCCCCCGTCCCCCCGCCCCCCTATAAGGATGATGGGTTTTTGAATAGGGGGTGCCGATTTTTTTTTTTCAAAGAGGCTAACAAAATTTTTTGTCCCTTAATTCAGAAAAATCTTTCCTAGGGCACCGACAAAAATTTGAGGGTTCGGATTCCAGTCATATTTGCGGGGGGGATATGGAAGTCCCCTGGAAAATGGAAGTCCCCCGGGGAGGAGGGGGTGAAGGAGGGGGGGAGAATCCAAATGCTCCCTAGCCTCCGTAGATATCGACGCAAGTATTGACTGTGTTAAATACTTACATCCACTTTCCAGCACATTCCTCGCCAATCTCCTCTATCACACCAGCAACTTCCAACCCTAGGATGTCTGATTCCCCCGCAGGAGGAGGATACAGCCCCCGGCGCTGTAATGTGTCAGCTCGATTGATCGCCGTGTAGTGAGCGCGGATTAACACCTTAGTTTTGTCTACTTTTGGCTTTGTTACTGTACCAATATAAAGATTCTCTACACCACCAGGCTTGTAAAGAACTGCTCTCATTGTGGAATTTCCAGATACAAGCAAGATTTCAAGAATAAACGATATCAACCACAGACGTGCAACTTCTTTTGTAATATGTCTTATCATCTTTCCACCGAGAGAAGACTGGAACTAAGCATGGTACACATTGACAACGATACTTAAAGGTTTTCGTTCTCACGAAAACATTGCAATCGATCGCGGGCGCAATTTTAAGATGGCGGATGGCGGTCTTTATCCTTGAAAGTTCGATTCTTGGACAGTGCTTGGAGTCAACCGAAACTGGACTTCACCACCATGGCCATTAATAAACCTACTCTTTCACACTGCTCGCGCAAAGTGTGGCCAAGTATAAATGGAACGCTTCAGGTGGTTGATTGAAATCGATGTTTGTTCACAAGACTATAAAGGTTAGCTACATGAAGGTAGTCAAAATTGAAACAGTTGATGGATCTTGGTGTTCATTCCGAACATTTTACAGGGCCAACTCTTTACGGAGCTTGATCACTATGAGTATGAGGCGAGCTAGCTTTCTTACGGGGCTATTAGCCCACCCATCCCTGACTATGGTTAAAAAATGGCCGTAAAGATAAGCAGTCTTGTCAAAAAGCTGATGTATGTATTAAAATAATTGTTTCGAGTTACCACTGGCCATGTTCATTCTTTTCGGATCCACAGTAAAGAAACGCTTCGGATCATGTATTGAAAGTATTCGGTTTTGGATATGATCCGTTGTGGATTATTTGGATCAATAATCCGTTTTTGGATTTTAGTAAAGAAACAAAATATCCTTGTTCGGATTAAAAAGTCCAGATTTGGATTTTAGTAAAAAGAGTACTCATGGCATTCTAAAACATACATATGCAGAGTTTATTGTATGGGAGTGGGATCTTGATGTGTGTCTTGTCAGGCATTAAATGACAGGTAGGTTTCTCAATTGAGAAGACCATAAGAAATATTATAGTGGCATGAAAGGATCACAGAAGAATGGTTTATCGTGCAAAGAGGGCACTCTTCTCAGTTTTAGGTATCAGAAATTACAATAGTTATTATAAGGGGGAGGGGGGGAGGGGGTAGCACACCGAATCACTCTAGCAGATCCTTGTCTTTTTTAGCACTTTCAAGTGATGATCATCAAGTCTAATGTTCATACAAGGTTTATTTCCCTTTGTCTGAAGAAAAGGAAAAATAAATAAAAGTAAATGGTAAAAGAACAGTGGTCAACTGAAATTTCTTCTGTAGTGCCATAACATTCTACTTGCTTGTGACAAGCCAACAGCTTCTGAGCTTTATCAAATTAATAATCGTGCATCATAAAAAAAAAACAATGGTTGCTACATTTACGGCCCTTGGTCAGGACAGCAGGTCCTTGGTTTAGCCATAGTGGCCACTTTGCAAGTGTGAGCAAACTGCACACAAAAAAGAGAAGCATTTGCATCCTGTATATTTTATGTAGTTATAAGCAAACTTTAAAACTCAAATGAAATTTCTCAACTTATTCTAGTCTTTTTTTATGAAGAAATTTAAAGCACTGAATATCAAAGGACAAGAGAACTGCAGTTGAATGTGACAAGAAGTAATACCTATTTTGACCTTTAAAGCTTTTTATTATGTTTAATTTCAAAATGCTTCTCTTTGGTTTATTCTGCAGATAATGTGATGGAAAGTGACGGCAGAGAAACTAACCATTCAGGAAAGCAACTGAAAAGTATATGTTATGCAGGTACAGAGTTGTTGTCTTGCTTTTTAAACCTATGTTGCTTCAATTTGTTGTCACCACTGTCGTTGTTTCTAAGTGGTCAGAAATACGATTACGGTGCTACTAGCAAAGTCTCTCTCACTATTTGCTATTCTTTTTGGGTACTTAACAAAATTCCTTTCTTGAGATATATATACAATACAAGAAATCATAAATATATAAATAAAAAAATAATGATTGAAAAAAAATGGAGAAATTATAGTTGACTCTTCTTGGCTGGAGGTCATATTTGACAGTCTTACATAATTTGTAAAACTATTTTCCCAATATTTTCATTAGACTCCATTCTTTTGTGAGCTAGCTGGATTTCATCGATGGTGAAAACTGAATCCACAATAGTCTTGAGTGTTCCATTTGCAAACTGTGGAACAATTCTGTCTGAAAACTCCTCTACCAGCTTTTTTTTGTACTGCAAAATGATCAAAAAGTACAGTGAGGCACCATAGGTAATGAAAAGTGGTACACGCTCACTTCCACCACTTACAGTTTGTACAAGTTTGAACTTGGATAGAGTCGCTTGGAATTAAACTTCAGGAGGGTTCACCTACTTTGACAAAGTATGACTGAAAGAACGCAAATTCAGTTTTTAGGGATGTTCTCGTTTCCATGGTTGCATCATAAACCCCCTCATCCCTTGGGTTTTTACACGCAGAGACAAAGAAAAAATTATTAGTCGCCAAAAGTGAACTGACAGCTTTCCCTAACCAAAACCAAAACCAAAACCAAAATGATGCGGGAAACCAACCGATCACATAAATGAAACCAAAACCAAAATGCTGTCAGTTCACTTTTGGCGTCTAACATAGTGAACGTGTGAAACCCTCCTACATGGCACAATTTGATGCAATAAACGTTTTTTTCTGGAAGTGGGCGGGAAGGGGGTTAGTGGGTGGATTGAGGTATGCATGAGTCTGTTAGGTTTTAAGTTTCAGTGCATATGCCTGGCTAACAAATATGTTACCACATGAATCTTACTAAAAAGATTATTTTTTTTATGATTTTCTCTCTAGCTCCATTTTATTCTGATCCTAATACTTCAGAGAATAATAACTTACAGCAAGTGGTCTACTCTTGAGTGTTGTTCCTATAAGTGAAACTCTCTTCTTGAGGACAGGTCCAAGGAGGTTACCTGAGACATTATTACCGCCCAGCAATCCATACAGGATCCAACGACCATCAACAGCAATACTCTTTATATTCTGTTCCCAGAATGAGCTCCCCACACAATCAAGGATCACATTTGCTCCTTGATCTGGGAGAATACAAAATAATATTAATGGTAAGTATAGTGAATTGTTAATGGATTAATTCTATGCTATGTGACTGTACAAACAGAAAATGTAGATAGGTTGAAATATATTCTTTCTGCAGGGTGAGGGAAAATAGGAGCAGGAACAGGCTCTTGAGACAGAAAAATAATATATGATACGGTCACACCTTGTTAGTACGGACACTGTGGGGGCCATAGAAAGTGTCCTTATTAACAAGGTTTCTGTACTGAACGGGTTGAATTTAGAGGAAATGTGAGGGCTGTCTTTCTTCAGAGACAAAGCTAACTGTGCATAATACTGAGGTGTCCGTTAAGCAGGGTAGGGGACATCTGCATACAGGCTCAGTTTCTCAGAGTTGCAATCTCAGGAATACACTAGATGCCAGAGGCTTTTCATGTGCCGTTTCTTGTTTCGATCAAGTCACTTGTCGGCCTGTGAGCGACACCGAAGTATTCCATGGCAAGTGAGAAAAAAATCTCTGGCACCCACAGTATCTGAGGAGATCACAACACCACGATTTTACTTTTGTTCATCCTTAATCATAACTGATAACAAAATTCTCAAATCTGATTGGCTGTCAACTGTCCTCATTTTAGCACTAATAGGACGATGTAATCATGGGACAGTACGTGCCATCGCACACGCATGCTTAAATGGCCTTTTTGACTGCCAGCAAAAAGAAAAACTCTCAGAATTTCTTGTGTTTTAATTAGAAAAAAAGCCTAAAATATAACAAATTTTGTTATAGTTATCACTTATGATTAATTGGTAACAGAACTTCGTGTCATCTAATTCAGTCTGAAATCATACTAGCTCGTACTCATGATTAAAGAAATCGGACTCCTGTATGCGGTCGTGTGATTTTGTTAATCACTCGTATGATTACGGACCGAATTGGACTCCACTCAGTCCTATTACCATTATAAGTTTACAACATCAAGTACCATTTGTAACATTTTCCACCCAACTTGAGAAATTTCCTGTTTTGTAGTTAAAGCCTCCTTCAGCTCCTAGTGACTCAGCCATTTTAATCTTTTGCTCTGATCCTGCAGTAACAAAAGGCCTTGCTCCAGCTAACCTTGACAGCTGTACCAGAGCAGTACCAACGCCACTGCCCCCGGCATGGATTAATACTACTTCGCCGCTTTTAACTTTGCCAAGAAAATGCAATAGTTGATATGCTGTTAACCAAACTTCAGGGATGGCCGCGGCATCCGAGAGTTTGTAAGAGTCTGGGACAGGCATTGCAAGTGCTTCATCAACAGCCACATACTCTGCATAACCTCCACCTTTAAAAGCAATAACAAAAAAAAAATTTAAAAGGTAGTTTAGATAGGCCGTTCACAATACGTAGGGAGTTCCTTAAAAGCAACAACGACGGTAGCCTGTGTTGGAGACATAATTTAACCTTGGTTAGTGGGAGGGCAGCATAGTCTCCTTCGCAGCCGTTATTAGGGTCGTCACGCAACGCTCCTCCCCACTAACTAGTCGGGAGGAGCGTTGCGTGACGACCCTAATAACGGCTGCGAAGGAGACTAGAGGCAGCACCGATTTCCTTGTTCTGGACCCCCGACGGACTCAACTAATTACCGGAAGCGCGTTTCGAATTTTCTTTCGTCCTAATTGGCAAATCAACAATGGCTTTTTTAACAGACCAATCATGGCGCGTACTCAAATCCTGGTAAACAGCTGGGGCCCAGAACAAGGATTTCCGCGCTGATTCGCACACGGACTTAACCAGAGGCTTAGTTTCGTCTGTGGCGCAGGCTACAACGACGGTGACGGTAACGGGGTCGCCAAAACAACGCTACACGTGCATCACGCTTTTTTGTACATTTCATCGTTGTGACTGCACGACTAAAACGTCGAACTTCCATAAATGTGACATTTTTTAGAGGACTTAAACGTTCGACGACATTTTTCTCCTCTCTCTTTTTACCCTTTGACGTGCTCTCTAAATTCAACTCCAAGAAAACTTGCCTTCATCTCACTAATTGAGTCAGTTACAGTAACGGCCGTAAATTTTTAAAGAATGCAAATGCACTTAATGTATTTGTTTGTTTGCTAGTTCAGATTTAATGTAATTAAAATAAAACTGTGATAGAATATTATTTATTGTAACTTAAAATTGTAGTTTTTTCCTTCCTTTTCCTTTTCCTTTCTTTTCCTTTCAGTTTATTTTTCTTTTAACTGGTCCGCCTAGATTAGCAATTGCTATTTTGCGGGCCAGTCTATTGTAACCAATAGTCTTATGAAATAAAGTTGAAGTTGAAGTTGTAAATGATGTTTTCACTGCCGTCTATATCCTGCGCCCTCCTTATTAATAACTAATAACTGGATCGGATGTGATCGGATCAAAGTTTTTATCATTTCGAGGGTAAAGAGGTTGATTTGATCTCGTCCGTGTTTTGTTTAGAACAGGTTACTGCTGATTCTGTAAATCTGTTGCTAGAAGAATGAAAATGGACTTTACATAACAAATTTAGATGTCCAATAAATAATTGCATGATTNCACGGACTTAACCAGAGGCTTAGTTTCGTCTGTGGCGCAGGCTACAACGACGGTGACGGTAACGGGGTCGCCAAAACAACGCTACACGTGCATCACGCTTTTTTGTACATTTCATCGTTGTGACTGCACGACTAAAACGTCGAACTTCCATAAATGTGACATTTTTTAGAGGACTTAAACGTTCGACGACATTTTTCTCCTCTCTCTTTTTACCCTTTGACGTGCTCTCTAAATTCAACTCCAAGAAAACTTGCCTTCATCTCACTAATTGAGTCAGTTACAGTAACGGCCGTAAATTTTTAAAGAATGCAAATGCACTTAATGTATTTGTTTGTTTGCTAGTTCAGATTTAATGTAATTAAAATAAAACTGTGATAGAATATTATTTATTGTAACTTAAAATTGTAGTTTTTTCCTTCCTTTTCCTTTTCCCTTCTTTTCCTTTCAGTTTATTTTTCTTTTAACTGGTCCGCCTAGATTAGCAATTGCTATTTTGCGGGCCAGTCTATTGTAACCAATAGTCTTATGAAATAAAGTTGAAGTTGAAGTTGTAAATGATGTTTTCACTGCCGTCTATATCCTGCGCCCTCCTTATTAATAACTAATAACTGGATCGGATGTGATCGGATCAAAGTTTTTATCATTTCGAGGGTAAAGAGGTTGATTTGATCTCGTCCGTGTTTTGTTTAGAACAGGTTACTGCTGATTCTGTAAATCTGTTGCTAGAAGAATGAAATGGACTTTACATAACAAATTTAGATGTCCAATAAATAATTGCATGATTATCATAGGAAGAGTAAACGTAGCAACACCATGAGCCAGGTGTTTGAAGGAAGCAATAGTTTATTTGGTTCTTTGTTTTTGATTTGTTGGGAAACCGCCCAACTACCCCTTCCCAAAGCTAACATTTTGCCCTTAGTGAGAAGTTAGTGTTAATGTTGGCTCAGGGGAGGGGTAGGTGAGCAGTTTCCCAGAAACCTATAATCAATATAATGATTGTGTATTTCAGACTGTTAACATTCCTTACCTCCTAACAAGGCCATAACTTGGTCACCTTTCCTACAAAAAAGAACGTAACAGTGCCTAAAGTTATTTTGTGAAGCTAAGGAAACTGGAAGGGCTGAGTTAATAGACTAGATAACTAGTCGCGAGGTCATGCTATTTAAGCGGGCAGTAGAGCATCCCTCGTTTTTTCAACTTTCCGCGAAGAACAAAAGGAGCGATAATCCAACAACACAAAGAGGACGTCAAAATTTTTGAAGGTTTGAGAGTGATATATCAGATAAGAGGAAAGATATAGCTCCCCCGTAAAGTTGCGATTATTTGTAAAACTATTTTGCCGATATTTTCATTAGACTCCATTCTTTTGTGAGCAAGCTGGATTTCATCTATGGTGAAAACTGAATCCACAATAGTCTTGAGTGTCCCATTTGCAAACTGTGGAACAATTCTGTCTGAAAACTCCTCTACCAGCTCTTTTTTGTACTGCAAAATGATCAAAAAGTACAGTGAGGCACCATAGGTATTGAAAAGTGGTACACGCTCCCTTCCACCACTTCAGTACAGTTTGTACAGGTTTGAACTTGGATAGAGTCGCTTAGAATTAAACTTCAGGAGGGTTCACCTACTTTGACAAAGTATGACTAAAAGAACGCAAATTCAGTTTTTAGGGATGTTCTTGTTTCCGTTGTTGATCGTAAATTCCCTCATCCCTTGGCTTTTCACACACAGAGACAAAGAAAAAATTATTAACATAGCGAACAGGTAAAACCCTCCTACACGGCACAATTTGATGCAATAAACGTTTTTTTCTAAAAGTGGGCGGGAAGGGGGTTAGTGAGTGGATTGAGGTATGCATGAGTCTGTTAGGTTTTAAGTTTCAGTGCAGGTGCCTGGTTAACAAATATGTTACCACGTGAATCTTACTAAAAAGATGATTCTTTTTATGATTTTCTCTCTAGCTCCATTTTATTCTGATCCTAATACTTCTGAGAATAATAACTTACAGCAAGTGGTCTACTCTTGAGTGTTGTTCCTATAAGTGAAACTCTCTTCTTGAGGACAGGTCCAAGGAGGTTACCTGAGACATTATTACCGCCCAACAATCCATACAAGATCCAACGACCATCAACAGCAAGACTCTTTATATTCTGTTCCCAAAATGAGCTTCCAACACAATCAAGGATCACATTTGCCCCTTGACCTGGGAGAATACATGCATTAATGGTAAGTATAGTGAATTGATAAAGCATTAAATCTATGCTATGGGACTGTACAAACAGAAAACGTAGATAGGTTGAAATATATTATTTCCGCAGGGTGAGGGAAAAATGGGAACAAGAACAGGCTCTTGAGACAGAAACATAATATGATACGGTCACACCTTGTTAGTACGGACACTATGGGGACCACAGAAAGTGTCCTTGTTAACGGGGTTTCCGTACTGAGCAGGTTGAATTTAGAGGAAATGTGAGGGCTGTCTTTCTTCAGAGACAAAGCTAACTGTGCATAATACTGAGGTGTCCATTAAGCGGGGTAGGGTACATCTGCATACAGGCTCAGTTTCTCAGAGTTGCAATCTCAAGAATACACTAGATGCCAGAGGCTTTTCAAGCGTCATTCCTTGTTTCGATCAAGTCACCTGTCAGCCTGCAAGCAAAACCGAAGTATTCCACCACAAGTGAGAAAAAAGTCTCTGGCACCCACGGTATCTGAGGAGGTCACAACACCACGATTTTACTTTTGTTCATCCTTAATCATAACTGTTACAAAATCCTCAAAATCTGATTGGCTATCAACTGTTCTGATTTTAGCACTAATAGGACGGTGTAATGGGACAGTACGCGCCATCGCACACGCGTGCTTAAATGGCCTTTTTTCACTGCTTGGAAAAAAAAAACTCTAGGAATTTCTTGTGTTTTAATTAGAAAAAAGTCTAAAATATAACAAATTTTGTTATAGTTATGATTAATTGGTAACAGAACTTCGTGTCGTCCAATTCGGTCTGAAATCATACTCGTGATTAAACAAATCGGACTCCCGCTAGGCAGTCGTGCGATTTTGTTAATCACTCGTATGATTACAGACCGAATTGGACTCCACTCAGTCCTATTACCATTACAAGTTAACAACATCAAGTACCATTTGTAACATTTTCCACCCAACCGGAGAAATTTCCTGTTTTGTAGTTGAAACCTCCTTCAGCTCCTAGTGACTCAGCCATCTTAATCTTTTCCTCTGATCCTGCAGTAACAAAAGGCCTTGCTCCAGCTAACCTTGACAGTTGTACCAGAGCAGTACCAACGCCACTGCCCCCGGCATGGATTAATACTACTTCGCCGCTTTTAACTTTGCCAAGAAAATGCAATAGTTGATATGCTGTTAACCAAACTTCAGGGATGGCCGCGGCATCCGAGAGTTTGGAAGAGTCTGGGACAGGCATTACAAGTGCTTCATCAACAGCCACATACTCAGCATAACCTCCACCTGTAAAAGCAATAACCAAAAAAATTTTTAGAAGGTAGTTTAGATAGGCTGTTCACAATACGTAGGGAGTTCCTTAAAAGCAACAACGACGGTAGCCTGTGTTGGAGACATAATTTAACCTTGGTTAGTGCGATGCAGCACTAACTAGTGGGGAGGAGCGTTGCGTGACGACCCTAATAACGGCTGCGAAGGAGACTAGAGGCAGTACCGATTTCCTTGTTCTGGACCCCCGACGGACTCAACTAATTACCGGAAGCGCGTTTCGAATTTTCTTTCGTCCTAATTGGCAAATCAACAATGGCTTTTTTAACAGATCAATCATGGCGCGTACTCAAATCCTGGTAAACAGCTGGGACCCAGAACAAGGATTTCCGCGCTGATTCGCTCACGGACTTAACCAGAGGCTTAGTTTCGTCTGTGGCGCAGGCTACAACGACGGTGACGGTAACGGGGTCGCCAAAACAACGCTACACGTGCATCACGCTTTTTTGTACATTTCATCGTTGTGACTGCACGACTAAAACGTCGAACTTCCATAAATGTGACATTTTTTAGAGGACTTAAACGTTCGACGACATTTTTCTCCTCTCTCTTTTTACCCTTTGACGTGCTCTCTAAATTCAACTCCAAGAAAACTTGCCTTCATCTCACTAATTGAGTCAGTTACAGTAACGGCCGTAAATTTTTAAAGAATGCAAATGCACTTAATGTATTTGTTTGTTTGCTAGTTCAGATTTAATGTAATTAAAATAAAACTGTGATAGAATATTATTTATTGTAACTTAAAATTGTAGTTTTTTCCTTCCTTTTCCTTTTCCCTTCTTTTCCTTTCAGTTTATTTTTCTTTTAACTGGTCCGCCTAGATTAGCAATTGCTATTTTGCGGGCCAGTCTATTGTAACCAATAGTCTTATGAAATAAAGTTGAAGTTGAAGTTGTAAATGATGTTTTCACTGCCGTCTATATCCTGCGCCCTCCTTATTAATAACTAATAACTGGATCGGATGTGATCGGATCAAAGTTTTTATCATTTCGAGGGTAAAGAGGTTGATTTGATCTCGTCCGTGTTTTGTTTAGAACAGGTTACTGCTGATTCTGTAAATCTGTTGCTAGAAGAATGAAAATGGACTTTACATAACAAATTTAGATGTCCAATAAATAATTGCATGATTATCATAGGAAGAGTAAACGTAGCAACACCATGAGCCAGGTGTTTGAAGGAAGCAATAGTTTATTTGGTTCTTTGTTTTTGATTTGTTGGGAAACCGCCCAACTACCCCTTCCCAAAGCTAACATTTTGCCCTTAGTGAGAAGTTAGTGTTAATGTTGGCTCAGGGGAGGGGTAGGTGAGCAGTTTCCCAGAAACCTATAATCAATATAATGATTGTGTATTTCAGACTGTTAGCATTCCTTACCTCCTAACAAGGCCATAACTTGGTCACCTTTCCTACAAAAAAGAACGTAACAGTGCCTAAAGTTATTTTGTGAAGCTAAGGAAACTGGAAGGGCTGAGTTAATAGACTAGATAACTAGTCGCGGGGTCATGCTATTTAAGCGGGCAGTAGAGCATCCCTCTTTTTTTCAACTTTCCGCGAAGAACAAAAGGAGCGATAATCCAACAACACAAAGAGGACGTCAAAATTTTTGAAGGTTTGAGAGTGATATATCAGATAAGAGGAAAGATATAGCTCCCCCGTAAAGTTGCGAAAGATTTTTCTGGCATTTGAATGGTGAGCAAAAGTCTGTAAAATTTCGCGAAATGGTTGCTGGTTGAATGCGAAGAAAGACCAGCAGCAATGCTTAGGATGAGACCGGAACAAATTCGGCTCTCTTCACTTGGTTTGTCCTGGTTAGGGCGGATTTGGAGGGAAACTTAACCTTTTAAACCCTAAGAGATCAAAACTTGAATTCTCATTTGTTGCTCCTATTCATTTCCTACAGAAGTAGTGGGGAAAAATTGATAATATATCAAGCATATTTATCTTCTGCAATCATGTCCGTAATTCTCAGTTACAAAGCATTGATGTTGCAAGGAGAAATTAGGTGCTGATCACTCTTAGGGTTTAAAGGGTTAAGGGAAGATTACAACTCCGACACAACACCTGTAGTCGGGTCTATAGTAGCCTCCCACGCAGGCGTTTTTAGGGGAGCTCGTATTTCTTCCTACGAGCTCCCCTAAAAACGCCTGCGTGGGAGGCTAGGTCTATAGATAACCGAGAAAGGCATGGTTGGTCATTCCGTATCACCTGCCATTGACTTAACTTTCCCTTAGACCCTTACGTTAGAATTAAACCTCTCAAGTTAAAAGAAAGCTGACGATAAAGTGAAGCCCGTATGACCATATATAGGCCCTACTAAACCTTAGCCCTACCCTGAAAGGGAATTAGAGAGCAGGCGAGGCAAACGACCTCCGGATTATAAATTCCCTGCCAACTGAGCTATGAGGCCAGAAGGGAGCAAGTTTCCAACCGCGCCCAGCAGCCGGTTTAACTTAAGCGCCACACCGAGGGAGAGATACGTTCTTTCTAGTTTGTACATAATTCTGTTTGCCGTCTCCGCAGGACTGCAACGTGAAACTGCCCAATTCCACGTTTTGTGGAGGACATGAACACAAGACAATGACTTTCTTTTTCTTTTCCTGAACTTCGATACAGTCTTTTAGAGTTCAACTCAAGAAATTTTGAAGCCGGCATTTGACGAACTGAACGAGATGGAATAAGCGCGATAAAGTTTGAAGCAGCGTGATTTCACTTTTTAAGTGATGACGTTTTCGTGTAGCCATCGCCGTCGTTTTTAAGCTCGCTAATAGNTCTGTTTGCCGTCTCCGCAGGACTGCAACGTGAAACTGCCCAATTCCACGTTTTGTGGAGGACATGAACACAAGACAATGACTTTCTTTTTCTTTTCCTGAACTTCGATACAGTCTTTTAGAGTTCAACTCAAGAAATTTTGAAGCCGGCATTTGACGAACTGAACGACATGGAATAAGCGCGATAAAGTTTGAAGCAGCGTGATTTCACTTTTTAAGTGATGACGTTTTCGTGTAGCCATCGCCGTCGTTTTTAAGCTCGCTAATAAGGAGTTTTTGCATCGACGACGGCGACCGCAGCGAGAACATCACTTTAAAAGTGATGAATTCGCGTTTTTTCTCAATTTTTCGCCTTTATTCCAGTTCGCTGAAAATGTCAAATGTTGGGAATTTCCCTGAAGCTGATTTCTTTGGGACCTCCTTTAAGTTTGGAAAGTGAAACGCAAATTCTTCGTCGCTTGTTTACGTGTACTCCATGAAAGGTAAAATTAGGCATTTTCACATCGTAGTCGTGCAGTGACAGCCAGAAATATAGATAAAAGAGTGATGCACGTTCAAAATTGTTGTTTTGCTCAATAAACCTATCGCTTTTTGACGTTGTCGGTGCCGTCGCCGTCGCCGTCGCCGTCGTAAAGTCGCGTCGCGTTTAGACGATAGAAGCGATTACAGAGAGATATACGAGAACTGAAGTGTGAGGCCGTTTTAGAGTAAATGTTTCGCTTGAGGTGGCTCGGAAATGATAACTGAGGAGAAACCCTTAAATATTACCTCTCCGTTCACGCACATCCAGCCCCGGTTTTTCTCCGTTTTTAGCAAATACTTGCAGACCCAACCTACGATCAGGCGGTTCTTAGGCGAGGCAAAAAGGGGCGTTCTTTTTCCCCTTTACCCGTCCGCCGACTTTCGCGCTATGCCCGAAAAAAGGACGCCCGATCGCAGGTTAAGGCACACCAGGAATTATGAGCCTAGTGATTTTTTTGCCATACGCTCGTAGCCATCACCGGTATGGTTACATTTGCTTTACAGCTGCTACAGCTCGTTTTGTGATCAGCGAGCTAAGAAGCCAATTAAGGCATATTGGCCTTGTCTTGCTTCTCAGGTAAATTAGACAATGGCGAAAACAAAAATAAAAGGAATAAGGGTTTTGCTCATAATTATATTTATCACTGGAGTGTGAAAATGAAATCACACAATGAAAGATGTAATAATGAACTGAAAAAGAGCATGGGCTGGCCCTTGCGTGCACAATTAATTATTAGGGTGGGTGATCCTAGACAGAAGTGAAATTTCTCAGTGAAATAATGCGGGTGTCCTTCTTACCTCAGAGCCACGCACGGTGAGGGAAAAGTAAAATTTTGCGAATTAAAAAAGAAGAAAAATAAAAGACTGTTTGCAGTCACGATGTGAAATAACAATGCAGCATTTTTTTCTCAGTGGGAGAATTTTAAACAAAGACAATGGCGGACTCATACCGGCGGTAAGTTTTGGAACGCAACATGTCTGCAACTGATTCTGCTAGAAATTCAGGGAAAAAAGCGACTAAACATGTAGTTAAGACATCTCCTTTATATAACTTCTTCATCATCTTTATATTAACCTTATTCTGGAATAAGATCTGTGCTCCGATCTCGAAATTTTACTAATGCCCAGTTTTTCAAACTGCAATAGTTACTCGCTAGCGCAAAAGACCCGATTCAGTGTTGAAATCTGCAACTTGTTTTCTTTCTCTTTTACTTTTCTTTTTATTTGTGAAAATGATTACTGGTTGAACCCTTCAACTATAATAATCTGCTTCATCACATTTTAGCCAGAGTTAGACAAAAGTCTCCCGTTTTCTCTATTTTTACGGCGCTTTCACCGCATCACTGCACATTCATGCATCAATGCTTCTCACACTGGATCATACTAATACAAACTACACTGTAGTCATTTCAGCACAAGTAGATACTAAAGAAAGGAACTCGATATGCGTAGCCATATCGAGAGTCGATTGAGCTGGATCCCAGGCGATCTAGGCTCTCACCAGACTTGATTTGTCAAGGGGTGGACTATGATTGTCTAGGTGAATGTAGACCTGTGATCGATTGTTTATTTATCGTTTATTGTCGACATTGCGAGTGTAGTTCCACACGGAATACACTCACCCGGACGCTCACATGTCAGTTATTTAAGATATGACTCCTAAATTCAAACCATTTATCTAATACCAATTACTCAAACATTACATTCCAGGGATTACAATGGGTAACAACAAGTCCAATCTACCTCTCCTTTGGACAGTCTGACTAGAATGGTATTATTTTTGACAACGCCTTCCATTGCTAAAAATCAAGTGAACTAGTAAACTAGTATTGTCTTAACAGGCAAAAATTGTCTTTAGCCGTTTAAATTTATTCCAATTTTGTGACGCCCAAGTTTATTTTCCGCGGGTATTTTGAAGAGTGTCTAAATATAGCAACAAGCTTTTTGAGCATATCAGTGATTGATTTTGTCTAATCTCCCAGCTGCTTTACATAAGAACTTACTTCCATTTTCCAACACATTCATCGCCCACCTCCTCTATCAAACCAGAGACTTCCAATCCTAAGATTTCAGATTCCCCTGGCAAAGGGGGGTAAAGACCTTGACGCTGCAATGTGTCAGCTCGGTTAATTGCTGAGTAGCGAACGCGGATTAATACTTGAGTTTTCTCTGCTGAAGGCTTCGCCACTGTACCCGTATATAGGTTTTCCACACCTCCAGGCTTATAAAGAACTGCTTTCATTGTGGTATTCTCAGAGGCGGACATGATCTTAAATAAACGGGACGAACCTTGGGAGTGAAGTCAGCGTGTAGCCGAAGGGAGACTGGGACTTAGAATTTGACAACTTATCGACTATTTATCGATTATCGACTGTGAGATCGATTGCGGGCGCACTTTCAAGATGGCAGATGAACAAGGGGTTTTTGAACCTGAATCAAAACGTCCAAGAATATCCCTGGAGTCAACTAGTACTGGGAATCAAAGTGTGAATGAGGAACTGAAGACTAATCAGGCTCAATGTGAAAGCAGAGAAAAATTAAATCCTGAAAAGAGTGCATGGTTGACTTGCCCTGTTCAACACGTCGGTGAACACGTGCAAAATGATAAACTTAACAAAACAGAGGAAATCTTCGATGAGGACGAGAAAAAACCAAGTCAGGTTTCTGCTAAAACAAAACCTGGGAGTTTGAAATATGTGAGTGTATCTGAAAAGGATGTTGGAATTCTAGAATTTGTCAGCAGTTTACCGGGCTTCCATGGTGTTCTCAAGCAAAGATACGCTGATTTTATTGTGAGCGAGCGAGATCTTAAAGGGAATCTTGTGCGTTTGACAGATGTGTCGGTTCCTCAAAATGAGAAGAGCAAAGAATTTGATCTTGATATTTTGAGCGAAGAGGATAAAGACAAAATCAAGACGGTTGCCGATGATAAGGAAAAGAAAATGTCAGTGACATTATCACCTGATGATGACAAAGATCACAGGAGATTGGTTCATCGTGCAATCAGGGAAAACTTCTCAGCTCTAGGTATCTATATTAAATATTGCAATAATATATACATTTTCTTTTCTTTCTTTCTCCTTGATTTTTTTTCTTTTTTTTCCCTCGGAGAGAAGGTTGGGGTGGGGGTGGGGGTGGGGGGTGAGGTTGTTAAGGGTGAGGTAACCTGCAGGTACAGGCTTAACATTGTACAAAAATGGCAGGACCTCTGCTTTCAGGATTTGTAAAGGCAAATAAGGATTGGCCTTTGTTGTGGTTTATCCTTGGTGAAAATTTTATTTCGCTTTATTTTGGAGTATGGTAATGTATGTTAATCAGGTTGTAACAAAGAAAAAAAGATTAAACCAACCACAAAATTGAACCACAACAGCCTTTTTGATGTATCTTGCTCCCCTCCGAGAGTCATCTCTCTCTCCCTCTCAGAGTGAGAAAGGAGGGGCAGAGGAGTGGCCATGAAGACAAGGTTGCATTTCACTAATATGTCCCCAGCTTTCCTTTCTACACTTAACCGCGCTTTTCAAAAACACGTGAATTCTGAAGTTCAAAAGCCAGCTGATTTTTGTGTTCTTCGCTGCTGTCAATCATCTAAGTGAACCCCTTAGGAATTAGAAGTTTGCTTCAATGGGTTCAAAATTGATTTGTGATAGGTGGATTTCGATCTGTTTTGTGTGTTTCTGTGTTTCAAGCTTCATTGCTGGTGATTGTAATTACGACTGACAGCAGCAAAAAACGAAATTGTGAAGGCAGCTTTTGAAATGCAGAATTCATGTGTTTTTAAAAAGCGCAGCAAGGTGACCTTTCTTAATTGTACACTGTTTTTCATGCTCTGCTAATTATGCTTACTATGCCCATTCATTTTCCTTCTCCTCCTAATAATATTCCTTGAAGTCCCTTTTCTATATTCAGATGTGTAACTTCCATAATCGTGTACAAATAATGGGTAGGGAAATGGTAGGGAAAATTAGTCCAGTTTCAAGAATCCTGAGTTTTTTTAACCTCTCTGGGAAAAAGAAATTAGCCCTATTTCTGGAGGGTTTGAAAAATCTGGGACACTGTGTGACTTGAAAGGGAAGAAGGTTTTGATTGAAATTATGGGGCATTAAAAAACTGAGGGTTAAGAAATAGGTCAGGGTTCCTTTGTTAGTATTTTAGTGAAATACCCTAACAAAAATCAGTTTGTTATTGGTTAGTATATTTAAACTGCATGCTGCTGGTGATGAGAAAAATAATAATTAATTTTTGTTTGGGTATTACATGTAGTCTTAGAGAGGTACAATTATGATGTTTTTTCATGAAGGCCCACTGCTTTTACGTTATGCTTTAGTCATGTGAATGCTATATTTCAGTCAATTTTTCAGAAGTTTCTTTATAGGTCTACCCAGAATTTGTTTACGTGCTAAAGTACGTAATTTAGTTCTCATCATTTGATCTTTGCTTGTAGGAATTGATTGTGACTGATAAATCGAAAGTTGAATTATGAAAGCTACATTTTCTTGAATGAAAAACAAGGTCTTTTGTCTCAATTTAGCCCCCAGAAAGCTGAAAATCGCATTTTAGGGCTTTGAAATTTCAAAATTTTCTGGGCAACCACGTCACTCCCCAGACACCCCCCTTCCCTTAGAAAAACGGGACTAATGGCCCATTGTTGATACAGTCGGTTACTCTATTCAAACCTGCTGGCTACTTCACTTTTTATTGAAAGCACCTGCTGGTATACAATAATTATTATGTACTTTGATTTGGTCTTAACATTAAAGAATTCCTGTAGTTCACTTTATTTTATTGAGGCATTCATCTTTATATTTAACATACATGTATACATTTTTCCAGCCTATAGTCACAGCAAGCAACAAAAATATTTCCTTGAGTTACAGTTTTAGAATCAACACTTATCATAAGAATTCTTTTGTCTATTCTAGACAGTGACACAGTTGATGTTGGTAGCCAAAAAGCAGTTAGAGTTTTCCATAAACAAGACTCTACTGGCAATCGAAGAGGCACAAGGTGGCCATCAGAGCTTGAGAATTATTGTTGGTTTGTCCTTTATAAGGAAAACAAAGACACTATGGATGCTATCAACCTGTTGAGTAAACTCCTGAAGATCAAATCAGGCATGTTTGGTTATGCTGGAACAAAAGATCGTAGGGCTATCACCACTCAGTGGGTCTCTGTGTACAGGGTCAGGGCTGAACAGTTACAGAATCTTAACAGCACCCTAAGGAATTTGTGTGTTGGGAACTTTAGATATTGTAAAGAGCCTCTAAAACTTGGTTCTCTGTCAGGATTTTATTGTCACACTTCGCAATGTTACTGGAGATCATAGTACAATTGAGGAGAGTTTGGAGTCATTAAAGGTCAATGGTTTTATCAACTACTTTGGTCTGCAGCGGTTTGGAACCACATCAGTTCCAACACATAAAATAGGTAACTACTATGTTTTGTTGTTGTTTTTTTTCTTCTGCTTTTTTTTAATTTCCTTTCACACAGCCACAAGGAACAACCTCATTGATACCTATATGTGAGATGTCTGTAATGTATGCAAATTCTCTTTGAGACAACAAGCACCTTGTACCCTAACCCACATTATCATGTCATTAACCCCCTTCCCCCACCCTGGGTGAGAAAGAAGGCTAAAAAGCCTTAATTGTTTGGGGAAGAAGCATGAGTATATTTTCTTTTTCTTCAGTTGGTTTGTCACCTTGTTTGTAACGTTGTAGCCACATGGCAACGGGACAGTCATGTTGGTGGTCAATGAAATTACTTTTTACAAATAATTTACTTGAAAAATTAATGGAGTTAAGTTTGTTCATGACCACTAACATGGCCGCCATGATGTCATTTGCAAACCAGCGATACTTTGCCCTATGCACTTGCACATTGTCACATTACCTTGAGACAATAAAATGACCATGAGAGAACAAGTTACTACTAATAAAATAATCCCCTCAAAATGGGTTCTGTTTGTGCCCTCATGCCATATTGCATTGAATCTGTTCCCAAGTGACTGTGGCACAACAGTGCTCCCGAGAAAGATGTTATTAAGTCAGTTACACATGCCACAGGTGGTTTGGTAGAAATAGTGACAGAGTACTTCCATTAGGAATCGAACCTGTGACCTTCTGGTTACTAGTCGGGATGCCGTCACATTCCCATCATTGAACATAAGCAGGATGTTTGTTACATGAACCTAGTTTAGTGGCCTCACAAGTAGCTCGTACAAGTCCCTTGTTGCTTTTTGGTACAGCATGTGGGCTACTTAACAAGAGGGTCATAGGGAGTACTTGGATTTTTTTCTTTCAAGTAGCCTGTGTCACTGACTAAGAGCTTAGCGATATTCCAATGATTTTGTTACCTGTACGTCCTTTATCATTGACATATTAAAATCCCCAAAGGCCCAAAACAATTCATGGCATGCATCCTGTAGGATGCAAAGATTGATGGATTGATCTGAAAATGAATATTAATTATTTTGTAGAAATATCTGGCCGGCTTGTTGGCATAATGTTTGTTGCAGTTATTATGGTTGTTGTTTAATGATGCATATTTCTTTTAGCCTTTGTTGTGCTTTAAAATAGAAGGACTATATTTTAATTTCAGTGTACTGTAATAGGGAGTTTTGGAGTCTGTCTTCAGATTAACTGTCTGGTTACATAAAGGCCCAAGCATTTTTAATTTCAGACTCATTTTTTTTAACAGGGACTCATGATTTTTCACAAGATAAGTTCCAGGACTCACCATAACTATTTGTAACAAAATCACTAATATACTAATCCTAGCAGTATGTAGGATGTTTGTCACATGAACCTAGTTTAGTAGCCTTAGCTCCTACCAGTCTTCTGTGGCTCAGTGGTAGAGCATTGGGACTAGTAAGCCAGAAGGCCCTACTTGCAGGTTTAACTCCTGTTGGGTGTATGCGGATGTTTTCTTCCAAGCTGCCTTGTTCATTGACTGAATAACATCTTCCTCGTCTATTCACCAAGCTTAAAATTCACCATCACATTTCTATCAATAGTTCTCCTGTTTTGAGGGAGGAGCTCACTTCACTTTCTAACCCAGTGCCAGATCCAGACCTTGAGATAAGGGGGGAGCAGTTTGGTCCAAAAGTAAGGGTGTGTGTGTGTGTGGGGGGGGGGGGGGGGCCCCCACGGGTTTGGGCCCTGTACACATAACATTTTTTAAAAACACCACCTCAAGGTTCTCTTTTGCTTCCACAAAATTGT